ATAACAATAACCATTACAATATCATTACTCAGTATCACTGCTTATAATTCTTAATTCACATTCCCCCATTAATATACCATACAATACATCAAGTTAAAATTATTAGTTACCTGTATCTTTCAATAAATTCATAATTAACATTCCACAAAATCACTTTCCCTGGCACATGAATATAGAGATGAAACAACTTAGCAGATTAACTTAAAATTTATAAGTTTTCATCACTTTTAATACATTATAAAGATGTAAAAATAAGCTTCAACATCCATCTGACACATGTTCACATGCTAGAAGTGACAAAGTTTGTCACATGTGTGCCAGCTTTTGAAGGAGATGATATATCATATCTTTATATCAAAAAATAATAATAATGTTAAAACATCAACTTTATACCAGACAAAGTTAATCCATTAAAATCAATAGTTAACATTAAAAAAATAATAATTTTAAACAAATAAGATAACTTTGTTTAACATCATATAAGCTAATGATTCAATAATCTATACCTAAATTTATCCATTTACTATTTTTTCCTCTTTCAAGAACATCAGTAGGGGGGTTTACACGGAGGATAAGGTATATTAAGAATCAATATGGTAATTAACACTGTCTCAATTAATAGTACAATTATCACTGTGAATATAATTAACAGCTACCTTGTTATGTTTTATTGTCAGTCAATGTACTATGTGGGTGTAGGTAAGTTATATGAGGGAAGGTTTATTCAGTAAGCTAATATTGTAAACACACAAACACTTATATACTTTCAACAATTTTGGAATGACACTTATACTTCCTTGTGTACCTATATAGGACTTAATTCAAATTCATTGTCCAGATATCAGTTGGGCACTTTGGTCAAACAGGTACTAGTTGTTCAATTAAATCTCAAGAATACAAATGTCTGTTTCTTAAATAACTGAGTCATTCTCCTATATTTACTATTTCTTAAGCAATTTACACACAAAATATTTCTAGTCTTTGTTAATGCAAGAAAATATTAAAATTTAATGCCCACTATTCTGCTAATATAAGATGTACATAATAAAGGCTTTGGGTAAGTCCTTGGAAAGCAGCAAATTTTTAAAGGACAGCTTAAATACATGTATATGTAGACTACAGATTTGATATAATTAATTAATATTATTAATTAGTAGTCTTGAGACTACTAGAGACTACTTTGAGATCAATGGCAACAAATAATTTGATTCAATCAGTGAAAAAAAAGAATATGAGCCGCATCACGAAAAAACCAACATAATGCGTTTGCGACCAGCATGGATCCAGACCAGCCTGCGCATTCGCGCAGTCTGATCAGGATCCATGCTGTTCGCTTACCAACTCTTTTACAAGTAGAGAAACTGATAGCGAACAGCATGGATCCTGATCAGACTGCCCGGATGCGCAGGCTGGTCTGGATCCATGCTGGTCGCAAACCCACTATGTTGGTTTTGTGGTGACGCGGCTCATATAAAGTGAAGTATCAGCATTTGTTCTGCTGAGAAACGTCCAGTGATATGAATCATGCAGTCTGACCAGGCTCTAACCATTGACTGACTTACTTCAATTTTCAACTTAATATCCATCTAAATTGATAATGGACAGTTCCAAAAATGGAAGCTGGACAAGTTCAAGTTCTTTTCGGAAATTTATCATATGAAGGGATTTAAAAATAATTCATTTACCAATGTTTCAACATGCATTTGGAGATATTAAAGTCAATGTTAAAAAAAATAACGAAGCAACAATAAATAATTGCTGGTTAAAAAAATTAACATAGCTTAGAAGGGTAAAAAAAAGTAGCAGGTGTTTGCGTCTGAGTTACATACAGACAGTCAGAATAACAAGAGCTGTCACAGGAGACAGCGAAGCTCGACTAATAAAATACTGGACGCAGTAAGGAGGACAAAACTATGAAAGAAAAATCAATTATGTATAATTATGTATTAAGTTATAGTAAAAAAATGATATTTGTTAACATAAATTCCAAGATCAAGGGGAATAATTCTAGAAATAGTCATGCTAGAGTTATGGACCTTGTCACACAACATTTGTGTAATGATAAGAAATATATATTTGAAGTTTGAAGTAGATTCCTTAAAAAGTAAAGAAGTTATTATATTTCTTAAAGAAAATCCTAAGTTCAAAGAGAGATAAATGTGTAAATATTGCTTCAAGAGTTATGAACATTGTCACATAAAATGTAATTGATGATAAGGAATAAGTACTTGAAGTTTGAGGTAGATACCTTTAAAAATAAAAAAGTTATAATAAAAATTTTTTTAAAAATAACATTTTTCTAGTAAAAAAATCTAAGTTTATGGGGAGATAATTCTTGCAATATTGGTGCTAGAGTTATGAACCTTGTAACATAAGATGTGGATGATGATAACGTAAATATATTTGAAGTATGAAGTTGATCCCTTTAGAAATAAATAAGTAACAGTAAAAAATAATATTTTTTATGGAAAATTCTAAGTTCAAAGGGAGATAAATCTGAAAATATTGGTGCTAGAGTTATAAACATTGTCACATAAGATGGGGATGATGATAACGTAAATATATTTGAAGTATGAGGTTGATCCCTTAAGAAATAAAGAAGAAACAGTAAGAAATAGTACTTTTTGAGGAAAATTCTAAGTTCAAGGGGAGATAAATCTGAAAATATTGGTGCTAGAGTTATGAACCTTGTCACATAAGATGGGGATGATGATAAGGTACATATATTTGAAGTATGAGGTTGATCCCTTAAGAAATAAAGAAGTAACAGTAAAAAATAGTATTATTTTTTAAGGAAAATTCTAAGTTCAAGGGGAGATAAATCTGAAAATATTGGTGCTAGAGTTATGAACCTTGTCACATAAGATGTGGTTGATGATAAGGAACATATATTTGAAGTTTGAAGTTGATACCTTAAGAAATGACAAAGTTATAGTGAAAAATATTTTACTGCACCAAAACTTTAATCTAAAATCTGGACGCGGACGCGGACGCCGGGGCGAGTAGGACAGCTCTCCATATACTTCGTATAGTCGAGCTAAAATTTGTAGAATTTAGGCAAAATAAAACTTGTATAATAGAATTTAGGCAAAATTTGCATGATTTACATACAATGTTAAAATTAAATTAAATATATTCAATAATATTATCACCTTGACTTAAAATAATGTTATATCAGTAAACTATCAATTATCACTTTAATATTACAACATTATATTGTTAACAATGTACTGGACTTTGATCAGCATCTGTTTAACACATTGCAATACAGTGTTACATAATATATGTATATACATGTATAATAAGAAATACTTTTACTAGTATTAAATTATCAATCTAATTCTGTTAGCAACAGCAAATAAAGAAACTTATAGTTACATTGTACAGTGTTTTTTTCTCTATATATAACTACTACCCTAAAACGGTACTGTTCCCAATAGAAAATAGACATTAAAATTCCCAATTTCCAATGTTTAAATTCCCAGAATGGCTGTTCAAAATGCCAACTAGGCCAAGTGATTTTTCTAAAATCATTTAAATCCAACATATTCATATAAATCACCACTCAATAGTTCTATCTGGACAGTAGAAGCTGTTAGCTATCTTTATTCGTGATGACTAAAAAATGCATTAAAAAATTCCCAATTTTAGTCAAAATAACGCATTTTTTCCCAATCAGTCTGGTACTGGCACCAATCCCAGAGTAGATAAAAAAACACTGTTGTATACCTTATGCCAGAAGTCATCCAGTCTGTACTGAAAGAGGCTAGGTCAATTATCAAAAATAGGGTAATTAGATCACCAACTGATGCAGAAAAATGCAGAATATGTTTCATTGGAATTTACAGGAAAAACTACCATGTCTCAATAAAACCCATATTTACATATTTTCCATCATCTTATAATATAATGAATGAAATAAGTATACATACATATATGCTGTAAAGTTTTTAAAAAGAATACCGGTACTTCCAAAATGCTTGTATGAAATAAATGTGGTTTCAAATTGCCTTAAAAGCAAATGGCACATATGCATGATTGAATCGATACTTGCATGATTGCTAAACGGATGAAACCCTACTTAAAATAGCAACATTTTATGGTAATAAGACTGTTTGATTGACACTTCACCCCTCAAATTTTGAAGAAACTTCATCCCTTAAGACACTTCACCCCCTAAAATTAGTAAGACACAAGACACTTTGCCCCTAAATTCTAAATTTTCTACATAAATAATGTCTCAATCGAATTTCTTAAAATGAGATGTGAACTGTCTGAGGGGTGGTGCATGCAAAAAGGGCCTAGGGTGAAGTGTCTTGTGGTGAAGTGTCTGTAAATCAAATAAAAAGCGCAAAAGGGCACAATTTGTTAGGCTAATCAATTTCAAGTCACATGCACATCTCAGTCTGTTTTATCCTTGTTTCATTTTGAACACCACCACATTTTATTGAAATATCTAGGCGGGCTTTTTGGATATAATTTTTTAAAGATTTTTTTATCAGTGTTTATAGTCACATCATTTGTCTTAAAATTTAGCTAAAATAATAATAAAATAGTGGTGCGGCTATGGACCAATCGCACTGCTGATGACGACCAAGATTATTCCTGCCCCAAAGTCAAACTCTTAAGTCTGAAATATTTTTAGCTACAGTAGGGTCAACGAATAATAGACTCTACTCTAGAGTCTAGTCTATCTATGTCTATCTTCTGAAATAATTTGTTCCACTTCTGAATTCTTGGTGGCTTTACAAAATGAATAATTACAAAATTAAATGAAAACAGAGATAATCCACACATAATTTATGCAAGCAGAGAAAATAACACTTACTAAATAACATCCTTATTTTATCAGCGAATAATCTGATAATTATCTCCGCGAAATATCTTCAGATCTGTCAGAAGCCAAAGAGTAAATAAGAGTAATCGATCTTGAAACACTCTTGAAACACTCTTCAATGGAGGCGAAAATAAACTGGTTTTCTGGAACCCCGCATATACGCGCTTTGTACCGAAGTGGATAGAGAGCGGAAAGCCAGCAAGACACCAACGAGGGAAACTAAATCGGATAAGGACTCTTTGTCAGGGATCGGAACATTTGACTGTCATCATGCCGAGAATAGACAATGACATCAAACTCGACTTCAAGGATGTGTTGTTTCGACCTAAAAGGAGCACTTTGCGTAGCCGATCTGACGTAAGAATACTTTTTGTCATTGATGGAATTATCGATTGCTTGCCAAAAAAAATCTATATGATTTTCAGAAAATATGAAATATTTCTTCATTTGGTGTATTGTACTGATTAGAACATTTGATATGATATTTTTTATTTGTCTTGCAGCACAACAGAATATTTCCATTACTTAATGACGCATGTATTTAAGAATATACTAAAAGGTCAATATAATTCTGATATTAGATAATGCCTTAATCAGAGACATAGATAACTATCTATGTCTCTGCCTTAATTAATGGAAATCTTATGATCTATTAAAAATATATATCAAAGATGACAGAGCCATTAGAGAACAACTACCATTATTGAAACAAATGATACCATTATGTTACATGAATTGACAATGAATTGGCCCACTGATGATTCGCCCCAAACTTTAGTGATTTGCCTCACTAAAACAAGTAATTTTAAAATTAAGTCATATTAAGAAATGATAAGATTTTAGTATATTTGTGATATAAAATGTTCTTTGTATCTATCTTAAGAACAGAAATTGATCATTTTAACTTTCGGGTTATCAATATTAAAACTGATAATAATTTGCCCCAGTTCAGTGACGATTAGCCCCACTTATCATTTTCCTTCAAGAATTTTTAAGTATAACGATATATATTTCTGTATTAACTGAAAAAGATAGGTTTTTCCCAGTTGGTGGTATGCATTGAAATACTGCATCTTTTTACAGCACTTCTAATTTATTACCTTTAACTGAATGTTATATTAGCGATATACAAATGACATTAATAATTGTAAGTTCAGTTAAACCAGTAATTTTCTTATTCTATCTCTAAATCAAATGTTATCTATTAAATACTCAAACCATAAACATTTTTTAATCCAAATGCATACATGCCATAATTTTTGGACAGCTTTCTGGGACACTTTTCATCGCGGCAATAATGAATGTGGAGGCAGTTGTGGAAAAGGGGGGAGGGGGTGTGTCAATCGTATAACGTTATTAAATTAGGACGACTTGCTCCTGAATTTTAATGATAAACAGTTAACTGACTAGTTTTAGAAGTAGTCTTTTATCATTTTATAGTATATCTTTATTTCATTTATTATTCCCTAAAAGCAAGTTAGTTGTAAGTTATAAACCTGGTGAATGGGTCGAATGGGCGCAGCCATGTTGTTCACCCCTTATACAGGGGCGGATACAGAACATGGTTTCCTGGGGGGGCTGTCATATGGGTGGAAGATTTTGACAAAAATAATGCAACAGGCGAAAATTGTGCATGTTTGAAGATTGGGCCAATATCTTGTTCATGTGACAAAAATTGTAATTGATGTGTTTTATAGCTCATCTTATGAGTGGCAATGTACTTTCGCTTATATATGTGTATACTAATATTTTCGTAAAATATTTAGATGATATGGAATTAAGAAAAATATATGTAATTGGGGTGGGCCTGGGAGGGGTGTCCCCTCCCATAGACTGAGAAAATTTTGAAATATGAGGTTGAAAATGGTGTTATTTCCTTGACTTTCTAGTGCTGTTTATGGTACCTTTTGGATGGTTTTACAGGTTATTGTTTGCAGGGTATTTCAAATAGAATTCCCCTGGGTTTAGTACGTATTATGCATTTACAAAACAACAGCACACTAACCAATGTTTGCGCGACTGTTGATAAAAATAATTTTTAAACACTTTATCAATGTACTCCTCTGAATAATAGACGTTTTTCCAAAGTAAAGTGATATTAAAGTACTGTCTTTCAATTGTAACAAAAATCAATAAGAATTTTTTCCATCAATGAATCCATTTTAGATACTAAAGAGGGCAGTACTATTTAAATTTTATTTAAAAAAAATATAACTGCAATAAAAAAGTTATTAAAAGCAAAATTTATAACCAATCAGTTCATCTGAAAAAAAATCTTAGAAAAACTTATTATTTAAAACGCGATTCATTTAGTATAATCTTGATAAAACTTGTCACCCTTTTAATTTACAAATAATAATTTTCAATTTCTTAATAATAGGGCTTTCGCAAAAACAAAGATAGTAAAATATGGTGTGCAATATAACACATCTACAGTGTATTTGCCACTATCTGTGACTATTAATTTCATAAGACCTTTGGAAAGTAATAAAACCAATCAATTATGCAGTTTAAACATTGAAGTCATTCAAGCATGTTGATAGATAAAGATCTCTGCCAAGCCCCCAGGCAGGAGATTAACAACTGGATGACAGCAATTAATGTTTTGATAAGGGAGTACACTACAGCAACTGGTAAAAACAGTTACAGACATCCGATTTTCCGGGACAATCCCGGGCATCCGGGACGTTATGGCATGTATGCCAAATGATTAAAAAATGCTTAATATAAAGATAATAATATTTCAACCATATAAGGTATATACAGACTACAGACATGCAAGCAAATAATTTATTTAATGACAAAGCAATTTCAGATAACATTATGCAAATATATGCAAAATAGTATCAAATATTATGTTTCTCGTAACAGTCCTTTGTGAAATTTAATATTCAATATCATATAAAGAAAGAATTTAATGAATATATTATTTTAACAATTAATAATTATACCTTGTAGCATGTTAAAGATTTCTAATTAGATTCCTTAATTTCGCTGTATTCAGCATGCTTCATATACTAATTATATCCTACTGGATGACATACATGTATGACCACAGATATACATGTACACTATATACAGTACATAAGTCATAATGAAATGTACGTATGATTCATTATGTGAAGAATAAAATGCCTGTTGTGTTATTAATAGCAAGTCAGTTACAGAAAATTATATTTTTGAAATATTGATTTTATCATTTCTCGATTTATTAATGGGAGCCTAAACAATTTTTGCAGGTGGATCTTGTTAGAACGTTCCAGTTCCGGAATTCAGGCCAGACATACTCTGGTATCCCAATTATGGTAGCCAACATGGACACAACAGGAACTTTTGAGATGGCAAAAGCTGTTGGAAAGGTACTGTTCAGTTATGTTAAAGAATTAGAGACCATTATATGTTGTGCATACTTCATTTCATTATCATATTAATACAGAATCCCACCCCCACGCTATTTGGAAAAGGTCTTAATTGGGAAAAAAATATATTGAATTTTAGGAAATTTGAAAAATTATAAGAAATAGAAAAACTACCATATACATGTTTTGAATTTTATTCATTTGTTTATTTTAAGAAACAAGAAATTGAAGAAAAAAAGTTTTTAGATTTTTTTCTCAAAAATGGAAACAGTTTGATTTTTTGGCAGCTGTGAATGAAATATTTTGAAATTGAGAAAAAGCTCATCAAGAGATTATTTTGTCTGGGAATTGGGCCTTTTATCAGCCCCTGGTGATAGAGAGAAAATAACTTGTAATAGGTGAGCAAACTTTAATGCTTTAAGTTGTGTCTACACTCTATGGTCTTGTCTTCAACATGCGTTTTATATATTTCAGCATCTGATGTTCACTGTCATACACAAGCATTATACAGTAGATGACTGGATTGAGTTTGCCAAGAATAACAAGGATATTTTAGAGGTACATGTAAAATAATTTTATTAAATAAATCATGTAATCTTAACATGTATTTACATGCCTAGGAGGTATTAGCACATTTAAGCTACTTTGAACAGTTATGAAAAATAAAGTTCTTATTTTAATATTTGAAATATGTAAAAACATGTTATGATTTAAGCAAAGAATAAATTAACTTCCTTTTATGTAAAAACATGCAGGGCTCGACATTAACGGTTGTCCGACTGCCCGGGACAACCAAAAGTTTGGTCAGGGCAAGTGAATTTTAAAAAAACTTGTCCGATAGGGCAAGTGAAAAAAATCATAAGTAAACATATAAAATTCCAATATTATGACCAATAATCCTTGCAAATTACAATTTCAATCTTAATTAGACTTAATTAGAACGGATCACATTTGTGGAGACGATAAATAACGAACCTCACAGCAGGGGCAATTGTACATGTACACAGACTATCTGGTTGTCTGATGAATATGTCAAAACTTGATTAACATTATTAATTATGTCAACACCTCTTCTTATTAAAGGTGTTCAAACCCTGTTAAAGTTCAAATCACAGCCTTGAACATAGTTTAATTTAGCCGTCTAAACATTTGCCGATTTCTGGCTGTTTATTTTTGCCGTTAAAATCTAAAATTTATCATATATCCTCAAAGAAAAAAACGTTTCTCCTGTAGATAATTGTGAAAATAATAACAATTCATCTGCAAATGTGATACAGAGACATAAAAAATGGTCAGGGCAAGCAAGCTTTGGGTCAGGGCAAGTAATTTTCAAAAGTACTTGCCCGACAGGACAACCAAATAAAAAAGTTAATGTCAAGGCCTGACATGTTATGATTTAAGCAAAGAAATAATTAACTTCCTTTTCATGTTGAGGAAAACAAGTTAAATGAACCAGTTTTTTTTCAATACCTGCTAAATATAAGATATTACTAAGGAATTATGCACTGATTATGCATACAAAAGTTTGAAGTTTGTATAACATAAAACATAAAAAAATATTTTTACACAATTTTTCTTTTCAGCACGTGGCAGCCAGTACTGGGACAGGCTCTGGTGATTTAAAGAAGTTGAAGGACATACTTGATGCTGTCCCTGATATCAAATATCTATGTGTAGATGTTGCCAATGGTTATTCTGAACATTTTGTACAGTTTGTGCGGGATTGTCGTAAAGAATTCCCCAAACATACCATTATGGTAAGTTCCAGCAGAATATATGATAGTACTTGTATGTCTATAATTGAGTTTCAACTGTGTACATTATTTTGTAATTCTGGTACCTTCAAGTGTCAAGTCAGAGAAAGATATTTTTCCAGAGCCACCTCCCTTTGAGAAGAACACAAGATGCCTAAAAAAAATTTTTTATTTCAAAGTTTGTTTGATATATATCTTCAAAACCATGTAGATACATGTATATACAATAACATGTATGTGTAAAGTATTATATAATTCACATGAGATTTTGAAGTTGAAAAGTAAATGGAAAAAAAAATTCTGATGAACATTTTTCTTGTTTTAATCATCCACTGACTGATTTACAATGTATATGCTTAATCTGCATAATGGTAGTGGTGATGGTTTTACTAGTTTACACTCCAGATCATGGCAGTAAGCCACATTGAATTTACCAGACCACATTTCAGCCACTGCATGGATTCTGGGCATTTAACCAGTACTAGTTGCCTTCACTTTTGCAAGGAACAGATAACTTCTATACATGTACTTGCAACATCAGAGGTACAGTACGAATGACAGTAGAAAGGATTTCATGATCATCACCATCAAAATGACCTACACCTAGTAGCCTGATTCACAGTCCAATGCTCTACCTTTTAAGCTATCGGATGGTAGTCTGCGTCATGAAAAAGCTTGTATGATACTTGTAAGAAGTGCTTGTCAGTCCCCTACCAGTTTAGCCGGAGGGGACTTTAGGTTTACCCTCCGTCTGTCCGTCTGTCTGTCAGTCCGAGCAAACATTGAGGGTTTAGGGGCTACATAACAGTAAAGAGGGCAAAAGAGAACATTAGGTTCATTCCGTGATCAAAGGGTTTATGGGCTAGTAGCCCTTAAGTAGACAAAGAAAATAACAAAGAAAATAGCCCCTAAAGCAAAAATGTTGGAAGGGACGTCCATCCGTCCACAAAACTGGATCCCGCGATAACGCAAAAAGTACTGAAAATATTTTTATGAAACTTGAAATATGGGTAGATGGCAGTATGGAGATTATGATCGTCTTTTTCTTTTGTTCCTATGTTGAAAATTCTGGTTGCTATGGCAACAAATAGTCTGAAAATATGGCAAATTTAACACATAAACTGGATCCAGTGATAACTCAAAAAGTACTGAAAATGTTTTTATGAAACTTGAAATATGGGTAGATGGCAGTCTGGAGATTATGCACGTCTTTTTCTTTTCTTCCTGTGCTAAAAATTCTGGTTGCTATGGCAACAAATAGTCTGAAAATATGGCAAATTTAACACATAAACTGGATCCAGTGATGACTCAAAAAGTACTGAAAATATTTTTATGAAACTTGAAATATGGGTAGATGGCAGTCTGGAGATTATGCACGTCTTTTTCTTTTCTTCCTATGTTGAAATTTCTGGTTGCTATGGCAACAAATAGCCTGCATTTCAAGATTTCTGATTTAAATTTTTCAGCTTTTTCACGATAAGTTCTTTATTTCTTAAGGTGTTTACTTCAAACTTAAAATATAAGTTTCTGGTCATCAACCACATCATATGTGACAAAGTTTACAACTCTAGCACAAAAATTATCAGTATTACCTCCCTTGAATTTAGAATTTTTATGAAAAAAAATGTTGTCTTTTTTAAATAACTTCTTTATTTTCTAATGTATCTACTTCAAACTTCATATATATGTTTCTTATTATCACTCAACATTTTTGAGAAGGTTAAATACTTTAGCAAGACTATTTTCAGAATTATTAGATTTTAGAACTTAGATTTTTTTTCGAGAAATTGGTATTTTTTACTCCAACTTCTTCATTCCTTATAGGATTTACTTTAAAATCCCACATTGTAATAATATGACAGGGTTGTATAAACATAATTTCCTTACTAGGCAGGGAAACTTAAACGCATTACTGTGATATAGACAAACTTAGAACTCAAAAGATTTAAGTTCATTCATGTCATTCATTCACTGGTAAAATTGAATGGCCAATGGCCCATCAGAATGTTGCTGGGGTTCTAACCGGTAGGGGACTTATGGATTGCTTGCAATACTATGATAATTGCTTGTTTTCTTTAGTTCTAAGTAATTCCTATGTTTTGATTCAGGCAGGTAATGTGGTTACCGGGGAGATGGTGGAGGAGCTGATACTGTCTGGTGCCGACATTATCAAGGTTGGTATAGGACCTGGCTCTGTGTGTACCACCAGGAAGAAGACTGGGGTAGGATACCCTCAACTTAGTGCTGTCATAGAGTGCGCAGATGCTGCCCATGGTCTTGGTGGGCACATAATTTCTGTAAGTTCAAATATTCTTATTTACAGTAGCAAGTTCCTTAGAAAAAACATTATTTACATACCTTATTGTATATGTAACTTAAAAATTGTTCTTGTTTTAAAATGTTAATAGGATAAGGTGTTTCATTTTGATTTGTTGGATAATTTCCAAACTGTCTTGAATAAAATATATATTAGAACTCACTTGTTTTGTTCTACATGTATGGTATATTAAATTATTACCTGTAACACTTACCTAGTCATGGCTACTACTTTTGTATATATATAATACAGTGAATATTAAGTTCTTGTTGAGTTTACATTACTATTCTGGTCTAACTTTTTGATACCATCAATAAGTAGTTTCTGAGCTGTCACAATAATTAATGGAATAGTAGTCTAGTATTTTGCTCATAAATGACATCTGAAGTTTGTTTATACAATGTTGATTGTAGGATGGTGGATGTACATGTCCTGGTGATGTAGCTAAAGCATTTGGAGCTGGTGCTGACTATGTAATGGCCGGTGGAATGTTTGCCGGTCACGACGAGTCTGGTGGAGAGATCGAGGAGAAGAACGGGAAAAAATTTAAAATGTTTTATGGTATGAGTTCAGCTACAGCCATGAAGAAACATGCAGGAGGAGTTGCAGAATACAGGTACAGTTAATAATAATAATTTTTGACTGTTTGGTGCAAAAGGGTTGTAACTCCTTCTTTTTGTCATTAGAGTTACAACCCTTTCGCACCAAACTCTCAGTATTTTATAAGAATTATTCTTGTATTGTTTTTGTCTGAATTGTTGAGATAAAAAAGGAAGCACATATTGGTAAGTTTCGGTCAGAATATACAATATTTGTATCAATACAAACAAATACTTGGTTTTGATTTTTGTATTGATACTGACTGAAATTCATATATTTTCCTTCTTTCTTACCCTTTCTAATGTATTTCATAAAATTTCTAATTGTGTAACCATTTTTAACAATGTGTTCATGTCTTGTTTAAAGCCTAAGTTTAAAAAGTTTAGAGCATTAATTACTTTGTCAAATACCCACATCTTATCTTGTATTTAGAGACCACTTGTAGGATTGCGTGAAAGCAGCTATTAAGTAATGGTCTCTCCATAAAATTAGGAAAATGAAAATCATTTTCGATATGTTGCATGTATATTGTATTATGGTATATTTTCCAGTCATTGGCATAACGTTACCGTTTTCTAATAAGAATTATGTAAACATGTAGTATACATGTATCATGATTAGTAACATAATAACTGAGTGTTAAAATTTCTGATTTGGTGTCGTTAACATGATGCATAGATACAGTGTTTATTCATAAATATTGTCAGAAATATGTTTTAATGAAGATAACATTTCTTTAAGTCCAATGAAATATGTTTCCAGATGATAACCCTTCTTTAAGTCCAATGAAATATGTTTCCAGATGATAACCATTCTTTAAGTCCAATGAAATATGTTTCTAGATGATAACCCTTCTTTAAGTCCAATGTATATCATATATTACAGAGCGTCAGAGGGTAAGACTGTACAGATTGACTATCGTGGACCCGTAGAAGTTACTGTACAAGATATACTCGGTGGTCTTCGATCAACTTGTACGTACGTAGGTGCTGGTAAACTTAAAGAACTGAGTCGTAGGACAACATTTATACGGGTGACACAACAATTGAACGAGGTGTTTGCTGCTAGTACCAAGGAACATTGATAAACCGAAGATCTTGTTTGGCTTTTTATGTGGTTTTATTTTTATTCCTAGGCTTTGAAAGCTTATTCAACACATTCTGTTCCCTTTGTTCCTCATATACAATATTATTTGATGTTTTAATCACAGTGAAAATTTATAATTTTATGAACAATAATGACATGAAAAAAAATCAGCGTGAACAGGTTAAATGAAGCGTTGATAGTAACTTTGTTGTGTTCTGTTTATTCATTGATGTTAAGTTTGTATTTTATATTGAAACAAGTTTTGTTATAAATGTTACTTAACATTATTAATTTACTTCAGTAGCTTTGGTGCTATGTTAAAACTATCAATATAGAACAATTTGGCATGATTTGTAGACATAGTGTTCGGTTGTATAGTGATATTGATTAAATTATAGTTCTGGCTTGGAGATGAAAAATATAGATTTGCTACAGCTCTGATATTGTTACATTGTTGTTAATTTTGAGCTGTTTATATTGAGTCTTAATTTTCTGAATGTCTAAAAAATGATGTATAGGGTCAAAGAGGATGTACTGTTGTGGGTTTTATAATGCCATATCTATCACCTTGTTTGACCTTTATTCAGAATATCTATACCGACCTGTCTATTATAAATGCAAGGAATGTGGCGGGGTATTTTTCTTTTGTGATATTTAAAAGGACTATAAACCATGCATCACCTATTAAGAAGTGGTTTGTCCATCTTAGCAAATGGTAATGGTTTGGAAAGTGTTGTTGATGAGATATGAAATTCAATAATATCAAAAAATTTAGGTATATATTGTTGTTATGACCAAGCAGTATCAAATTTTGTGATTATACAACATTAATTTCCAAATAGATATCAATTGATAAATCATTCTAATTTCACAGAATAGATCAAAGCAGCATCCCTCCAGATTCATGCTAATTTTCATGATTGTATTTAAATGTATAAACAGTAAAATATCGTAAGTGAACAAAGAAAGTATTTTTTTTAATTGCAAACAGCACTTTAAACAACAAAAATTACAAAAAATAAGTCAGAATATGTTAAATAGAAACACAGTAGTAATATGTTGATAAATACTGTTAAATTTGTCATTAACTGCATATAACCTGTAATTACTTTTTGAATGGTGACTATTTTTTCTTTTCTTAATATCTTACATTTTTCTTGAGTTTGATTTTCCTTAAATATTTGGCTGCTCTGGAGGCATGCAGCTTTAATGATTTACAGGCTTTGTACACTGTACTGCTTTCTGCCAAAGACTAATTTTAACATGTATATGATGATTTTACACTGTAACAGTATTGTTTAATGTAATCTCAAAACAAAATGTAACCTCCCATTTAACCTTTAAAGACTTTACTTACTTACTTACCTTTCTTTTAGGATATCATATGTACATGTATTGGTATAGTTGTTAAAAATTGGAAGTATTTTATGAATTGATGATATTTTTATTAAATTTTGCTTATTGTATTAGTGTGATTTAAGTTTTTTATATAACTCATTTTAGTTTGCTTGATGAGTTAAGTAAGAAAATCTCACAAATGAATACCAGAAAAAGGATATTTATTTTCTTCTTTAAGTTATGATCTTTGCGAACAATTTAAAATATTTGATGCACGTGATCCATCACCGAAGCTGATAATGTAAGTATTATTATAAAAAATATTTGCTCAATTTATGGGTTGCTAAGGAAAATACTTCTTTTGCATTTATAAATAATAAGGAATAACATACCTTACATGGATTTGTTTTTATTTATACCTGTCAGTTGGCTTTTAAATAATTTAATATTTATTTAGTACCGCTTCCGTGGTTGAGGGGTTAGAGTTGATGACTTCTAATCCAGTTACCTCGCTGGCGTGGGTTCAATCCCCTGGAGATGCTTTGGTAGTTTAGCACGGAGGAAGGTAGTCTAGTAGTGGTGTAACTCTCCAGGAACGATGGTTAGGAAACTACCTGCCTATATGACTGAATACTGTTGGGAAAAGGCGTAAAATGAAAAAAACAAACAAAAATATTTACGATGTCAGCCATCTGATTAAAATGTGTAGTGACTGCCTAATCTGGTACTATTATATTTTTACCTGGTCTTAAAACTTAATGGTGTGTAACTGCGAGGAAGAGTTACAAGCTGACTGCCAAAAGTGTTCAAGTCATTTTACTAGAAATATTTTTTTTGAACAACATGATTTCTTTCCTCTTTGGACTTTTACTATTATGTTCAAGTGATGTGCAGCACACTTTATATTTTTAGAAATAGCACACAGTACTTTGGATCTTATAGCATTATAGCCATGTCTCAAACAGCATCAAAACATCAAATGGACTTTGACTCAGTCTATGAAAGGTTTACGAGTTGACTGCTAGGTCAGATTAATGCTTTGAGGCCCTTGCAGTGGCGTGTACTTTTGTTTTTGGTTTTTTTATAGATTACCTCATAGTTCAACTAATTTTGTACAAATTTCCTTTTTCAAGTTTTGCTAGGAGCAGTGTGATAGTTTCTTTGAGAGAAATTTAAATCTGCATGTTCATAAATTTTTAATGAAAAGTATTTGTTATGTTTACAAGTTACACATGTAACAAGTTTTAGAGATATTACCTTGTTTTTCTGCGTGGTATTGGAATACCAGTTTTTATCATAACAGAAATCAGCAAAATCTTTTTACTGTGTTTTATTGTTTGAATTACACCCAGAAGGCTGTTTCTCATTTTGCCTAGGTTTAAGTCATAATATTTTTGAATAAATATTTTAAAAATGTTGTGTCATTTATTGTTTTTTGCTATCCATCGCCAATAAAAATGGTAGGGGGATATTGAATTTAGGTGAATATGATTTAGGTGATGATATGAAATATATTTGAAATTTAAAGCCAATTAAAAAAAAAAAAGTATAAGAAAAATGCTATGTTCAAGGGGACATAATTCTAAAAACATTTGTGCTAGAATTATGCATCTTATCACATGGGTTATAATAAGGAACATAATATTATAATTGAAGTTTGAAGAAGAACCCTTTGGGAAAGAAGCTACAGTGAAAAAAACTTTAACCAGAAATCTGGACATTGATTGTGATGCCAGGGTGAGTAGGAGACTTTCCAGGTTTACTGGTGGAGGAAGACCTCGAGTGCCTATCTGTACATTATTTCAGGCACACATGGACAGCCCAGTAGAACCAATGACATTCCATAAGCCAGCTGGATAGCTTTCTCACATAGAGAATCTGATAACTCTTGCATGGCTTGAACCTACAACTGTGAAAGGCAAGTGGTTTGATATCAACAACCTAAACCACTTGTCATTTCAGGAATGAGCGGGCATCTGAATAGAACCACTGATTTCTAAAGAACCGGTTGAACCCGGTGATGCTCCCTGTACAGAAAAGTATACCTCTTGTAGTTTCAGAGTTATGTCCTGGACAAAGTTCAATAATTCCAAACTTAGGCAAGACAGAGTTACTGTTCCTTGCACTGCTCATCTACCAATGATATATATATATATATATATATATATATATATATATATATATATATATATACATGAATGTATATCTACCTACTAAGTTTCTTGTTCATTTCTCTTATAGTGTCAGAGTTATGTCCTGGACAAAGTTCAAAATGAAAATATGAACAAAGGGCAATAACTCCATAATTAGGCAAGGCAGAGTTATGTTTCTTGTGCACATTACATCTACCCAATGAGATCTATCGACCTACAAAGTGTCTTGTTCATATCTTTTATACTTTCAGAACTATGTCCTGGACAATGTTCATTGTGTAAAAATGGACAATAACTCTAAAATAAGACAAGGCAGAGTTATGGTTCTTTTGTACTACACATCTACCCAATGAGATATATCTACCTACAAAGTGTTTTGTTTATATCTCTTATACTTTCAAAGCTAAGTCCTGGACAATGTTTATAGTGTAAAAATGAACAAAGGGCAATAACTTCAAAATTAGACAAGGCAGAGTTATGGTTCTTGTGCAGTGCACATCTACCCAGTCAGATCTATCTATCTACAAAGTTTCATGTTGAAATCTCTTGTTGTAACAGGGTATCCTGGACAAGAAATGCGGACGAACGGACAAAGCGGCGACTATATGCTCACCCTTATGGCATAAAAAATATAGTCAAATAAATAAGAAAATAAGACGTATGTGTTATAGTTTTATTGCTTACTTGTGCAAAATATTAAATGCACCATATCACCAACAGTATAATGTATAACATATCATATCAACAAATAATACATCCACTCACATGACATGCAAAACCTTAAAAAACTTGCATATAATATGAATAAAACTGATTAAATCTGTCTAGAATTGTATTCACATCAGATGATCAAAACTTGGATATAAATAACCAAAACTTCTCTTTTTTATCAATTCTTAGATATAAATAATCAAAAGTTCTATTTCAATACAATTATAAACTATCTTATAAAAATAACAAAAAAAATTCTGTTATGTAAAAAAAAAATCCTGAAATACTTATTTTTCATATACACATGTAAGATTCTTTGGGATTTTTTTTTTCAATAAAAGTTTTTCCTAAAAAAATTAGTATGTGAGTGCATGTAGTAATTACATGTACCAATAACATATTTAATTTGAAAAGAAAAAGAAATAATAATAATAATACTTTATAGTAAATAAAGAGATTTTTTTAGATTGTCATTTACTGGCAGCTATTCCCTCTCTAAGAGACACATTCCAAGGCCAAAACATGAGTTTGTAAACCAGTCAATCTATGCTTAAATTTCATTGGTCAATTTTGAATTTGAAAAAAAAAATCAGCCAATCAGATAGAATTATTTGTGACTGGTTGCCAAACTAAACTTTTAACATGGAATCAAAATTTACAGAAATCAAACAAATAGTAAAAAAGTATATTTATCAAACAAATAGCAAAAAAAAGAAGAGGAAAAGTATATTTTTAAGGCAAATTGGCTTTAAATAACAAAACTGTAAAAGAAACTGCACAATATTGATAGCCAGGCATGAAATTATATGGTTGGCATAGGCAAATTTTAAAGCATTACTGTACAAATTGTAAAAGCATAAGCTGTCAACTAAAAACTGTCCTAGAAGATAACAATAAAAAGGTTATGTAGGAATTCATAAGACTACAGTGAACTACTTTCCTAAAATGGACAGAATAGTTTCAAATAACAATTTTGTATACATTAAAAATTGTGTATCTTGATAAAAATAAATTTGCAAAGTCATTAAAATGGATTTCTAAAATGTAAAAGTATTTTTTGAATAATCATACTGCCATTCCTTATAAAAAGGAAAGGACCAATAATTTTGTGTATTAAAGGGACTCTGCCGGGGAGTTTGAAATGGCGGGATTGGAAATATTTTTCCGAGATTTGTTTATCATTTGATGTAAGTCTAGAGAAATACCTTGTGCTTTAAGATCCTTCACTCACACCTGATTTTCCAGAATAATCATTTTAACATGTAAAATGACCAAAAAATGAAAAGCCTTGCAATGCTTTCACTCAAACTGGGCCATTGCTTTTAGATTCTAAGAGTACATGTATTCCATATTACCCTTTTCAGATTTTTCCATTTTAAATGCTTCACATGATCTATATGAGAATTTCAGATTTTATGTCATTAGGCGTCTTGACCTCACTATGCCTGCATTTTTCGCATGCTACTTTTGTTACCATAAAGAGATCTCCCTTTTTCAGAAAGTTTTCACAAATATTACTATTGATTGCAATCAGTAACAAGAACAAGGGTTCTTACATAAAATTGTTGCTTACTTTCTACCAATGAACTTAACCAAAAAATAATGACGTAGTTACATGAAGGCATATATCTGAAAACAATTCACAATAAATTTTGCATCATTCATATGAAAATATATTCTTAAGTATAAATCATTGAGCTAAAAATGCAGTCACTTTTTTTTCTCTATATTGTGCACATTACACTACTCTATGTATATGGTATATTCAAACTTGTCCGGACCACAGCTACATCTGCTTTAAAATCAACCATTTTTATTTTATTGGTTGGATTTTAAGTAAAAAGAAAAGCTGTTAAGGTCAAATGGCAACTTCTTGTGGTGGATGTGGGAGACCATATAAGCACTCAATTCATTATGTCTCAAGAACAATGGACAAGGAACCAACATTCCACAAGCTAACAGAACATATTATTTTTCATGCCCCTACAGGCGTTTTAAATGTATACATGTCCCTGTTAATGAAGTTCATTTGTCATAAAAAACTTACTGTCTTTCCAGACATATTTACATGTATTAAATATCTACTTTACTTTCTGAATAAATAGAAACATAAAAAAGAAAAATCTAGCTAAATGTGTACCCTACTACATACAGTGAAAAAAGTGCAAAAAAATCTTACATGTATGAGAAACAACCTAAGTAGATATAATACCCCTCTACCAATGAATAAATAAGTTTACATTTAAAAGTTCAATCTAAAAGATTAGCTGTTTTATATCAATTTGACCTTGCATATCCATAAAGTAACCGTTAGTCTGCTGGGGCATGACACCAGTACAGACCAAGATCAGCCGGCACATCTGTGTCAAGGTCTGTACTGTTCATTATTATACTCTACTATCAACACAGGTCCGTGTTGAAGCAGCTATATTGAAAACTCTCTTATATTTAATATTAATTTTTAAAAGTATAATGTCCACACCTGAAACAATTTAGAAACTATAACTTATAAAAGAAATTAAAAAAAAAATCTTTATATGGGTAGAATAGACCCTCACAAAAAATCACAACAAAACAAAATAAAAAACTGTAAAATTTCAACCACATGATAGGATGTCCACAATATTTATATTCAAAACAAAAACTTGTAAAAAATTAGGTTATGTTATAAAATACAACACAAATAAACACATAAATGTATGACAAAGGTTAAAGCACCTTAAAAAATGTAAATGTGTCTTAAAAATGGCACATGATGAAATATACAGAAAACAAATCCAACAAAAACCACAAATCTATACTGTACTTGAAGGCAAAAGAAACATGTAAGTATATTCTGTAAAATGCAGCACAAAACTAATTAAATAAAATCCATTTGAAAGCTGTCATAGTTAACACTACTTCTATATCCTGGATATTGTACAAGATTTGATTGCACTATTCTTTATATAAGATACAAAACAATTTATTCTACCTTTTTACATCAGATCTAAAAATAACTACATTTAATTTATTTTACATCAGATCTAAAAATAAATACCATCAATCTAACATTAGATGAAGTATCCATAGGACAGCGTTTCTGACTATTTTAATCCTGAAATATTTCTAGTTCATAGGGTAAAAATAGAGGTCTATAAAAACTATACTTGTAAGTGGAAATATGATAAGTCTATTGAAAAGAAGGGGCATAATTTTATGAAACTTATTCACAAGAGTTACATCCTCTTGCCTGGCAGTGAGGATAATGGTCACTTATGAGTGTTCAAAGTTTCATAGCAATATCATAGAAGGTATAGAAAAATATATACATGTAATAGATAAATATAACATGTTAACTAATAACATAATTATATGATCCACTTTTTTCGTTTAGGATCTAAAAATAACAATAACATCAGATCTATAATCCACTTATTACCTATATAACCTAACATAAAATTCAATTTATTACCTATATAACCTAACATAAAATTCAATTTATTACCTATATAACCTAACATAAAATTCAACTTATTACCTATATAACCTAACATAAAATTCAACTTATTACCTATATAACCTAACATAAAATTCAACTGATTACCTATATAACCTAACATAAAATTCAACTTATTACCTATATAACCTAACATAAAATTCAACTTATTACCTATATAACCTAACATAAAATTCAAAATTGTCATGAAAAATTATCATGTCATTCCAATAACCTATAAATGTTAAAATTTGGGAGAAAAAAAAAAACCCATCAACTATATACTGAACACAATATTTACAGATCTGAGATATTAATTGCACCTGTATTATTTTTTAATGTTATTACTGTGAACAATCTGCATTTCAATTTAAATCATAATTTGATGCTTCACTAGTATCAAATAGTAGTTAATAAAACCAGTCTTATGCCAGCATTTGGTTGGCTGATTCTCATGCTTAAGTTTTGAAATTAACCAATCGAAAAAAAGCATACTATTTGACTGGTTTGCATCCCTTAAAAATAAAAGGCCTTCTTATTCAACTGAATATAAAGCACATTGTCTATACCGCCTGACATTTTGTGATCTGCATGGGGCAAATAAATGGCAAGGTAGTATTTTCTTCTGTAACTTATGTAATATTTCAATACTTTACATGGGATAAACTGAAGACCCTTCTCATTCTAGTTAGTACATGTAACAAAAGAAAGTTAGTACCAGGGTATGAGAATTTCTGAATATTCAAACAGTTTAATTGAATTAAAAAATATTGATTTTGTTTCTTAGCAATCATTTTATGTATGTTACTTACTAGAATGAGTTGGCTCCACATACACTTTATCACCCCCCAGAAAAACCACAATGAAATATGAAAAAAAGATATGGAAGAAAACACTACCTAAACTGTCTTTAGTAATTATTTTGTGCCCTTGTAGATTACCAATAGTCATGTGGTATTAGCACCATGATAAATATATATCTAAGAATAATAGGATAGATATTATAGGAAGTTTCTTAATGTACGACATCTATGACATAGAGATGGATAGTACCCTGTCTACACAACTGTGTAAAACAAGCCTTGACTAGGAAAATCAAACTCTGTTACTTGTCCAAGATTATTTTTTAATAAACTACATAAAAAACAGCCTAAATATGATAATGGTTACAATAACAAAAACCTGTGATAGCAGATCAGTCCAAATCACTAGCATCTGATTGGTCGATTCTGTTGATTAAGTTCAAACTGACCAATCATTGTGCTTAAATTTTCAGACTGGTCTACCATCAAAAGATTTTTTACCTATTTACACCGAGACATGACTGAACATCGCAGAGAATTAAATGTACAATAAAGAAAAATGAAATAAGGCAACTTTTACTATACAATATGAGCCAATAGTATTTAACATTACAATGTTACATATCAATAAGCTGTAGTCATGGAGCATTTGCTGGCATGGAAACCAGTGCAGACCAAGATCACCTAGCAAGATTTGTGCTGTCTGATCAAGTTTTGCAGGGCTCACTTTTCAGCTAGTACATGTTTTGATATTTGTACATGTTTTGATATTTTCCATCAAAATGACGAATAATTTTTCAAGTACTGAAAAATGGACAAGTCTGTTTATAAATTTGGCATGGTATGGGATAAGCATTAATTCATTTGAGCCGCGTCATGACAAAACCAACAAAGTGCGTTACTAGAATGAGTTGGCTCTACATACACTTTATCACCCCCAATAAAAACTTGAAAATTATGTTGGTTTTGTCGTGACGCGGCTCATTTACAGATTTGGCAAGGTATGGGATAAGCAAAACTGCACTTATAGCAAGCAACATGTCATGAAATTTATGACAGATTTTTTGTTATCATTAAATAAAGGGGGGGGCAAATCATAATTATTCATAACTTTTTATTCTATTATTACATTGTATTATCTATCTACTGATTCTATAATTTCATCTTATTTTATCGGAAATATGTTAATGTAAGTGGGGAATTTTTTTTTGAAAATTATATCGCTAGAATAATTAAGACATTTACTTCACTCATGTTTAAAGTGACATAACTCTCAATTTTTCACTATAGGGCTGAGAACAATTTTATCTTGGATGGGCATACTGTCGCTAAAGTTGATAAATATTTTTACACTAAAATCTACTGAATCACTACCTATTCTACCAGTAGCAACTGCTTGCTCTCTGTGCATGTCTAAGTATAACATTAAAATTGTAAAAACAGAAATTCAGTGAATAAAGCGCCAACTATATAAACTCTATCTAATATATATGTTATTATAATAAAAACACAACATAACTTTGGCACTAGTCTAAAATAAGTGTAACAAAAATAGGATTAAAATTTCAAAAATCATAACTTTCTATATACAATTTTGGGACATATTTTAAATGTTATATATATATCTGTTACAACAACACAGCAATATCATGTCTCCAGTTTTTTTCCTTCCTAACATGTATGTTCAAACACAATACAAGCAGAACGTTCCATATGTAATCTTTACAACATTGTGAAAAAATTAAACACACAAACTTAATGATAATTTAAATCCTTTTACCTAGATTTATGACTTATATTCTTTTTATCAGTTTTATAAATCAGTCTGAAATAAAGAAAGGGCTGTCTATTAAGTAAGACAGGGTTTTCTACTTTTCCACATACAGTGGTTGTTTTTAACTTAATTGGGAAGTGGCATTAGCCCTTTGATTTTAGGAAAAAAATGTTTCTAAAATTGCTAATTTAGGAAGAAAAAAATCTGGTGTAAATTCAGATATCTGAGAAAACTGCAGAATTTTTTAGATGATTTTGCTTAGGCCTTTTTTATATTAAGGTGAAAAATCACTGACATACATGTTGATAAGAAAATATCTTATTATAAAACTTGTAAGTTAAAGGAGGGGCAAAATTATGTCAAACTTCGTCTAAAACAAGAACCCATAGATATCTGAAATCAAAATACATAAACTATTACATGTATAGGTAAACCTGTGTTAAAAACCACCCCTAAATAAAGATAACTTGTGGATAAAGGCCACTTTTTGACAACCGTTCATTGATATAATTTGAAATAAAGTAACCTCCAAATACAGACCACTTGTCTATAAAGACCATTGTTGATCTCTCCCTTTTGTGACCTTGTTCACAGGTTAAACTGTATGTAGTGACAGTGTACACAACCTTATCAACTTTCACTTTTAATTCATTTTTTTTAACCTATAAAAAGCAAGTTGACATAATATTCCTAGACTTCCCAAACATATTGCTGTGTTTTGTATCAGATAGACTAAATATCAGAAGGTATGGTCACTGTAAATTAGGTACTTTTATTGTATAGTAAATCTTTTTAACTTGGACAATTCAGATAATGTTATCAAACAAAAACAAAATTCATTAATAATCTAAATATAACTAACAAACTGTAACTGAAGTTTTCTTATAATGTAATTGTACATTTATATCACTAATTCTGAGACAAAACTGAATTATATAATAAAAACATTACATAGACGTTTCAATGTGTTACTTAAACAAGTGATAAAAGGTGTTCATATAGTTGTTTCCCCACCGTGTGATTTATATACATAACATTTATATAATTGAGCCGCGTTATGACAAAACCAACATAATGGGTTTGCGACCATCATGGATCCAGACCAGCCTGCGCATCTGCGCAGTTTGATCAGGATCCATGCTGTTCGCTATCAGTTTCTCTACTTGTAATAGAGTTGGTAAGCGAACAGCATGGATCCTGATCAGACTGCGCAGATACGCAGGCTGGTCTAGATCCATGCTGGTCGCAAACCCATTATGTTGGTTTTGTCATGACGCGGCTCAATTATTATATTTGCATAGCTGTAAGTTAATGTGTATAAAACTTGTATATACATGGATTATAATATCAATATGAATATATGGATAAACGGTGTAAATAAAGCATGTATAATATGTGTGTGTAAATGACGTATGTACAAGGATTTCATAACTCATTTGCATATACATGTATATTGTATATGTATTTCTTCGGAAAAACGTATACTACATAAGGCATACATCAGCAATGTATAAAAAATTCATCAACAAGTTTTGTTTAAGTATTCCAATGATAGTTTGCCCATAACTAGACTGTCATTTATTCTTTTTTATTTTATTTCTACAGAAATAATGAGAAATAAAATTAAAAATATATGAGAAAAGAAATTATTATCTTTCATGTTTACATCTATGCTTACTTGAATTTACAAGATTTCTATACTGAGGAGAGAAAAAAATTCTCTTTGAACATCCGAGCTATTATCCAACAATAGTCAAAAATATCACAAATGTAACAAATGAAAAAAAAAAAAGAAAGAGTATGAATCCTGGCAATTGTAACCCACATGATAATTTTGGTTATGTACACACACTATGTTCAATCAACACACTACATGTAATATTTTTAACATATACTTTATTATAGATGGATTTATTATAGATGGATTATCATCATAACATTAGATATAATACAAGAGAAAATAACCAACAGAACACTAGTCTTTTAGAAAAATAAAGCACAAACTAATCAACATATTTGTTCTGACCTTATGATAGAATTTATTCAATAAAAAGAAAAAAAATCAACATATTTTAATATTACACAAATTGAGAAATTAACCATATATGTGTTATACACCAAAATATCACATATTTTAGCTAAAAGCACTAAATGTTTCATAATTCTGAAACATTATCTAAATAATAAATCAAGCAATCATGTCACATTGTTTAAATAAACTTAAAATACCCGATACTTTAAAATACTTTAAAATAATCCAAAAGAGAAAAAAGTTCCTGCCTTTTTTTACAGCATATAAAATCTGACATATCTTAAAATGAGATTTGAATGTATATATGTTGTATGAAGAAATATATAGATGAAATTTTAATACTGATACATATTTTATGTTACACAACAGTTTGGTAATGATTGACAGATAAAGCTTGGCAGCAGAAAGAATGTTTGAAGTAAAATGGTTAAAATTAATGTAAGTTACAGAAAAATGTAACATATATATTTGGCAACAAACACAAGAAAAACAAGAACAAAAAATCTGCAATATACTCAATAGTAAACTTAGAACACCAAAAAAATCTTTAAAGCAATTTAGCTTGAAAAAAAGAGCTTAAATCTTGTAAAACAATAAGATGAATATTCAAAGAATCCATCAATGGGGATTTTTTTTATGAAATATTTAAAATTAATTGTTTCAAAAATTGATCAAATTAACAAAGTATTCATGAGTCCAATGCAGCCAAAATAAACATTTCGAAACAGAAGGAAGACTTACAGTATTGCATACATGATTTTATATAGCAATGTCATTAGCTTTAGCACTGACTTTAAAGCTGTATTCACTTTTTTTAACTTAACTTCCCACATAAGAACATATCTTTTGACCAGCTTTACCATTTATATATACATGTTTAATCACATCAGAATATCATGATCACTAAACTTATCCGCGTCTTGTCCGACCAGGATAAATTCTTCCTCGTGATCATCTTTATCTTTAGAACCTTTCTTGGCAAAGATCCAAGGTGCACTGAGTCTACTTTTATTGCTCTTATTGCTTGACGCCGACAAGCTACTGGATGAAATAACCATTCTCATTGGTGTTCTAGGCGTGCTCGGCGCCGACGCTGGGCCGGCATCAAGACAGTCTTGATTCATTGGAGTAATAAGTTTTAAAACAAGATGGCTGCCAGACTTGCGTACTAAGGTCACAACTTCATCATGTTTTGCCCATTTTGTGTCACTACCACCTACTGCCACAACAAAATCTCCCACATTAATATTGCCATACTGTAAATGAAGAAGATAAGAATAATAGATCAATATGTTATAAAGTAAGTAAGTAAAGTAAATAAATATTTTATTAATGTGTCATATGTAAACATACAAGCAATTAACAAACAAGACATTGATAAACAATAGTATACACCCGGCCCAATGGGCCTATAAGACACAAATAATATGAAGACAATAAATCTGAAAACACGTGAACAACGTAAAAGGTATGTTTAGATAAAAAAAGAAAAAAGAAGGAAGATCTTATTTATCTTTTAGCTCAAAAGAAATGCTAGTTTATTCTAAATGGTTTAACCACAGGAAAGTACTGTATAAGAAATTCAATTTTGTCCGTAAATATATTTGACAAATATGAATTAAATGCCCAAAAAAAATTGAATGCGTTGAATTATTATAACAGATTTTTCATAAAATATATGTATCACCTGTTTATAGAACCTTTAACTATAGTTTATCTTAATATCTTAATATGATTGTAACATCATGTACAAATTAAACACGTTTATTTAAAAGTTCTGAATATGTTAACGTGGTATGATTTTAAGTTCCGAGTACTTAACTTTAAACAATGCTAAAACGAAAACGAAAATTTAACATTATTCAAAGTTCATTGATGGCTTAGCTTAAATTGTAATCTAAAGATAACTGACCACGTCCCTTTAATGCATTATATCTTAGTTCATAAAAATCTTGCCATACTATTTCTAAGTCGATAATAACTCTAACATACAGTTACTGTGATAAATAAGGGATTATCAAAGATTATAGAAAAACCGTTACGATTGTTCAAACCTTAATGTATATCAATAAAATATGATAATAAAGTTCAGATTACAATGTAAAATAAAATGTCCTAATACAGTCCAAAAATAGTAAATATTTAAATGAATAAGTAATCACAGTTTCAGTGTCTATGAAACAAATAGTCTCTACGCCTCATATATGCCGATACTAAGAATCTAGCTAGTTTTCTGGGGTGATTCTGAACAATATGTACAAATTTGTCACTGTCTGTAAATTGGGTTAATTGATCATTTGAAAAAATCTCACCTAAATGGTTGAGTCTTATATCATGGTACAAGCTACATTTTAAAACGAAATGCATTTCATCCTCAATAGACCCTGAATCACATAATGTACATAGCCTCTGTTCTGGTAATTCACCGACATATCTTCCTGTTTCTACACGAATTGGTAATATACCGCAGCGCATTTGTTCGAGTAATGAACGTTCGTTTCTTTTTAGGTTGAGTTTAAAGTTTAAGTTTGTTATAAATGATATGTCTAGTAGACAATATGTGAACCTACTGTATTTTTTAAATGGACTAGTCCAACTTCCATTTATGGAACTGTTCATTATAAATTTTGGGGATATCAAGATGAAAATTTAAGTTTTCGTGAAAACAGTATAGAGCCTGGATGTTCAGGCTGGCATGGCCACAAGGCTAATTACTTTTAGTTCTGCTTTTGTTTCCACTAGGTTAGAGGTTATATGATATGGATGAACAGTTTCTTGAGATAACAATGATCTATTTCTGTGATGATTTTATAAACTCTTGTAATGCTAGCAAACAATAACATTTAAATGCCTGCAAGTCTGTGATAACTGCAAATTTATCTGACAAAACACTTGTCACTGCTTAAAACATTACATGCTTCATTTCCTTGAATTTCAAACCATGCCAACAACTTACGGCATATGGGTACTCTGTATCTCCATTGTAGAAGGTAACTAATATTTTATGCCTCTTTATGTATTACTTTAGATTTAAGCAGGCAACTTGGTTAAACAACCAACCTTCATTAAGTTATCAATAAAGGTTCTGGAAACAATGGATTTCTACCATTTTAAGAGTTGGACTTCGAACAAGTGAGGGAGTGTAAGGGAAATGAACCAGAGTGAAAATAACATTAAGGGAAATCTATCCTTTCTGCTAAGGAAGACCCTCAAAACCTAAAAAAGAAAATACAGGTTTTTACCTCAGCTACACTGCCAGGTTCTATATCAGCCACTTTGACAGGACAGTCACCCCTCACACTGAAACCATACCCCTGACCTGGTGGCCTATCTAGTGCAAGTGTTCTAGGGGCTGTCCAGTGATTCTTGGCATTGAATACTGCTATTGGACCCTGTACCATAGAAATAAGTATAAGAAAGATAGGCCAATACAGAAATCAAACTTTCTAACATAAATAGGATATAATATGATCAATAAGATAAGAGCTGTCTGTAAGACAGCATACTCGACTATTTCAGTAAGAAAAGGGGCATAACTCTATAAAATGGTACTTAGAGTTATCGGACCTTACCAATCATTTAAGATAATCACAGAGAACAAGTGTGTGAAGTTACAATCCATTCTCTTCAGTAGTTTTGAAGATACCACAATCAACGCAAAAACTTAGTGTGATGCTGACACCAGGGTGAATACAATGAGTGTAGGACAAAAGCTCTCCCGGACAAAAGCCCTCCCGTCAAAAAGTGACAAGGCGGACAAAAGCCCTCCCGTGAAAATGACAAGGCGGACAAAAGCCCTCCCGTAAAAATGACTTGGCGGACAAAAGCCCTCCCGTGAAAATGATAGGGCGGACAAAAGCCCTCCCGCAGCAAATACATATATATGTACGTTGAATAGTTTATATTGCACTCAACATATTAAAATTGTAATCATGAATATTTTTGTTTTCCATTGGCATAACCGTGTTTGTATGAGCTTGAGCACACTTAATTTGCTAGTGAATACTGCATTTGAATAATTAGTGCCAAAATCTGCAAGTGCATAGTTATTCACGTAGATATGAAGGATTACTCCTATGTGATGTTAATATTAATTGAGTAATAAATGATGAAAAGAAGTTAAAATTATCTAACTTAAAAGTTATAGACATTTATAATGTACCTTGTAATGAGTCAATTACTTTTAAAAGTGACTTTGTTTTTAACGACATTTGTGTAAAAAGTTACCTCGTTAAACATTTCAGGAAGGTACATTCAGAATAAAAGGTGGTTCTAGCTCATACACATACCGGTTCTTAGGCCAATTGAAAACAACAAGAAACATAATTATGTAACAATTTTAATATGTTCAGTGCAATGAAAAAAACACATGTATGTATTCAACATATATATTTATTTTTGTTACAGGAGGGCTTTTATCTGCCTTGTTAATTTCACGGGAGGGCTTTTGTCCGCCCAGTCATTTTCACGGGAGGGCTTTTGTCCGCCCTGATACTTTCACGGGAGGGCTTTTGTCCGCCCTGTCATTTTCACGGGAGGGCTTTTGTCCGCCCAGTCATTTTCACAGGAGGGCTTTTGTCTGCCCTGATATTTTCATGGGAGGGCTTTTGTCCGCCCTGTCATTTTCACGGGAGGGCTTTTGTCTGCCTTGTCATTTTTTGACGGGAGGGCTTTTGTCCGGGAGAGCTTTTGTCCGTTTCCCGATTACAATAGCTCTCCCTATTCTTCAAATAGTCATATTTATAAGATTTTTTCACAGAAATTTACAAATGGTACACAAGTCAAAGTCTGCTAAAAATACTCTTGGAGAGACTGAAGTAGCATTATATATCGCGATCTATGTTCTATTAATTACAATATTTATCTCAATCTTTACATTTCTAATCTCAACACTGCCCAGAATTGAGAACAAAGACTGACAAATTTAACAACCCAACTGTATAAAGATCACCAGGATTTAGGTAATAAACTTATTGCTATATAAGGATAAAAATAAATCATACCAATTTCTTGAATATTTCTTGAACTTTGACCTTAGAAAACTCAGGTGTGACAGGAGCCACTATTTGTAGTGTTGTAGCCTTGATTTTAGGGGCAATGTGTATCTCTGTAAAATCATCCTCATCTTCTAGTGTAGAAAACTTGGACACTGATCTGAATATATGATTACACAAAACACATGTATGTTAAAGGATATTACAGTCGACTCCGGTTATAGCGAACTCAATGGGACATTAAAATATCGTTCGTTATATCCGAAGTTCGCTAAAAGCGAAGTAGCAACAACTTGCTGACTTGTTTGGATGGGGAAATTTGCAGTGAAAAAGCCATACTTTTCACTTGTTACCGGTGTCACCGGTATTTTACTGCAGCGGTTATTAAATGGTTATTTAATGCGGGGCATTTTATTAAACAATATATTATGTGCATGGTACATGTATTTATTCATGTTGTACTTGTCTATAAAGTATTCTTTTGCTATTTGTTTATTATCGTTTGGTTAATATTGCAAACAAAAACAATCGATTATTTGGTAATTATCGGGTATTAACAGCAATCAACTGAGGGTGCGAAATACAAATTTTCCGTAACAAGTAGGAAATTATGTTGTGAGAACATTTTATCAAAATCTTTATTCCCTGAAGCCATAACTAACCTGTGCAATCACTCGATTGTATAATTATCGGATAGCGTTATTAATGTACTGATCCTAATCGAGCGCATCCCGATATTTCAATTATAACAGTTTGTTATAACCGAGGAAATTTACATGTTTTCCGTCATTTCGGGCTTGAAAAATGGTTCGTTATAGCCGAAAATTCGTTATAAGCGAGTAAGTATTAAGCGATGTGATTTAATATAAAATAAAGAAGGAATAGGCCGGGGATGTCAGATTTAGTTCGTTATCAACGATAATTCGTTATAAGCAAGTTCATTACAAGTGAAGTCGACTGTATTATTTTATTTATTCTAACACTATCGGAATTTTTTCTATATAAACAAAGAAGGCCCAAAGCGTGCATTATTCTGCAACAATGCACTCGCCGTTCTTATTATTTCCCTGTGTATTTTCACATTGAGGGCGCCATTTTGTTTGAAAAATCTGATAAATAAAAACAATTTTTGTCGAATTTTGTTGTGAAAACTATCTTGAATGATAGAAAATGGTCTAACTAAGAAAATAAATCCGAACACCAATATCTTTAATTCAGTCGTTAACGCTGTACAGACGTTTAAAGTGTTGTTTACGTGACGTCACAATGTAGCGCCAAACAGCACGTGCAAAACAATCAAAATCAAGTACGCTATTTTAACGTCGCAGACGAGTTAAGTTTTACATTTATTTCACTTTTAATAATTTGTATTTCGCTTGGAAAATTATAGACTAAATTAAAATAAACAAACAAAGTTTTATCAACGTTTTCAAAGTTCGTTATTCTCAAAATGTTTCTATACACGGTAGATTTAACGACAGTTTTTTTCAACCCACTGGAACGGCCTTTAAAGAACGTTTCTATTGGAAACTCTGAGGCAAAAACAAATTTAACCGCCAAACATAAAGTCCAACTTTATAATAATAATTATATTTTTTCTTGACGTCTTAGAATGGAAATAGATATTAATTCTTTGTGCATTATTGTATAATAATGCACGTTTTTCGTTCAAATGCTTTGTAATTAATCACTCAGGCCTATCGGCCTTCGTGATTATATTACTACGCATTTGAACTCAAACCGTGCATTATTCTACAACAATGCACTCAGAATTGATATCTATTTCCTAAATATATAGGGTAATCAAGTTCTTTCTATAAATGCAGGATTTATTTTCACCAATGATATGGAAAAATATTTCACAAGTGGTGGTAGCCATGTGTGAAATATGATAATTTCCATATCCAAGAATGAAAATAAATCCGGTATTTCTAGAAAAAGAACTTAAATTTTCTGTTTACTATATACTTTTCGTTTTTTTACCATACAAAAGACATCATCTTAAATTTTATTTATTGGAAAGTAGTCCAGTCAGACACCAGTGAAAATATGGAAAATATGTTTCACTAAAGTGAAAGATATGCAGTTTATTTCATTAATCAGGGACTGAGTTTAGGGCTAAGTAGGGTAAAAACTTTGCTAAAAATATTTTCACTTCCCCCTTTTTGATCGGAAAAGCCAAATTCTAGTCGACCCAACATCCTATAAAATAGTCTGACTTGTATATTTCACTACTCAATAAAACTGCCTGGAGTCATGTTGTAATTTGACGTTATTAGCACACACACACACTGAAGTGGGGCAACTTGATAAGCTACATCAATAAAAATAGTGCTTTGTTTAAATGCATTTAACTATCAGGTGTTAAATATTTGAAAGACCCTGATTGATACAAATGCATGAATATAACATGGTACAGGCTAAAACACATACTGATCATGAGCCCTCTTCAATATTGTGAGAAACGTGTCCACTTTTCTAAGTTGTTTACACATGTTGTGTAGTCTCAATGCCTCTTCATGGCATATTAATGCTTCCTTCAAATGGGCTTTTGCTAAAAAAAAAAATATGCAATTTATGAAGTATATAAACTATATGAGAAAATACTTAATACATAACAAACTATTACATTCAAACGTATTTGGGAAGAAATTACACTAATATAAAGTATAAAAGAAAGCAGTTTATACATAAAAAACTTAATACATTCAGATGTATTTCAGCATAAATTACACTATGTTGAAATTATTATAAAGTAAAATTAAGGTAGATTTAATATTGAACACACAGAAAAAAAGACAAAATAAAATCATATATAGCTAATTAAACATACAGCATTGAAGAGAGGACTTCAGCTCAGCTAATAAAAATCTAACTTAATTAAATTTTAAGAGTCTTAAAATTATAACATGTCAGTTGTTGTTTTTCTTTCTTGAAAAAATATTGCGCAACATTTCATTTCATATGGACAGTACTGCAATTAAGGGTCAGCGAAGAAACACATGATAAACGCTTTCTCTTTTGATCTTAAAACAAAATATATTGACGTACAAAGTTGTTTCCGCTCATCAAAAGTTTGCGGTACTTTAACGGGCAAGTCATCCTCCCCATCCTCCTGGTTCGACAGACACGCGACCATCTCTCGAACTCTGTCTGCATTAATACTGTCTGTAAACATATAACATAACATTGTTGCTAGTTCCCTATTTTTACTATAGAAGATTGTCCTAAATACATGTAGTATACTCTTCTTTGTGCATTATATCAGGTACAAGCAGGTAATTACAAGAACCTCTAACCTCTCATAAATTAACATGAGCTTTACAAATTCTTATCTATTACACAAAGTGAAAGAAAGTAGGTGTGTAAGGGTGGGGTGGGGGAGGTACCAGTTAGAAAAAAAATTTATACTGACAAGTTTTTACAAAATAGATACAAATAGAAACAAAGAACCTATAGGCCATCTATACAGCAAATTTAATCTGAAAGAAAATACAATGTACTGTGTTTCCCCCCCCCCCCCTTGATAGTAAAAAAAAATGCTTGATACAGTAACCTCCTCCTGTTTACAGGTTGGGGTCATGATGGTGAACAAGTGTGCAAAGTTTCAAAGCCATATGTCAATGGACTTTGAAAATATTTGAACTATTACAAAAACTTTAACGTAAATTCTAAGTTGAACAAGAGCTGTCGGTAGGACAGCAACGCTCGACTATTCTTAGTGCTTGATAGTAAAAAAAAATCCTTGATGCAATTACCTCCTCCTGTTTACAGGTTGGGGTTATGATGGTGAACAAGTGTGCAAAGTTTCAAAGCCATATGTCAATGGACTTTGAAAATATTTGAACTATTACAAAAACTTTAACGTAAATTCTAAGTCGAAAAAGGGGCATAATTCTGTCAAAATGCTTGATACAGTTACCCTCTCCTGTCTACAGGTTGGGGTCATGATGGTGAACAAGTGTGCAAAGTTTCAAAGCCATATGTCAATGGACTTTGAAAATATTTGAACTATTACAAAAACTTTAACGTAAATTCTAAGTTGAACAAGAGCTGTCGGTAGGACAGCAACGCTCGACTATTCTTAGTGCTTGATAGTAAAAAAAAATCCTTGATGCAATTACCTCCTCCTGTTTACAGGTTGGGGTTATGATGGTGAACAAGTGTGCAAAGTTTCAAAGCCATATGTCAATGGACTTTGAAAATATTTGAACTATTACAAAAACTTTAACGTAAATTCTAAGTCGAAAAAGGGGCATAATTCTGTCAAAATGCTTGATACAGTTACCCTCTCCTGTCTACAGGTTGGGGTCATGATGGTGAACAAGTGTGCAAAGTTTCAAAGCCATATGTCAACGGACTTTGAAAATATTTGAACTATTACAAAAACTTTAAAATAAATTCTAAGTCGAAAAAGGGGCATAATTCTGTCAAAATGCTTGATACAGTTACCTCCTCCTGTCTACAGGTTGGGGTCATGATGGTGAACAAGTGTGCAAAGTTTCAAAGCCATATGTCAATGGACTCTTTGAAAATATTTGAACTATTACAAAAACTTTAACGTAAATTCTAAGTTGAACAAGAGCTGTCGGTAGGACAGCAACGCTCGACTATTCTTAGTGCTTGATAGTAAAAAAAAATCCTTGATGCAATTACCTCCTCCTGTTTTACAGGTTGGGGTTATGATGGTGAACAAGTGTGCAAAGTTTCAAAGCCATATGTCAATGGACTTTGAAAATATTTGAACTATTACAAAAACTTTAACGTAAATTCTAAGTCGAAAAAAGGGGCATAATTCTGTCAAAATGCTTGATACAGTTACCCTCTCCTGTCTACAGGTTGGGGTCATGATGGTGAACAAGTGTGCAAAGTTTCAAAGCCATATGTCAATGGACTTTGAAAATATTTGAACTATTACAAAAACTTTAACGTAAATTCTAAGTTGAACAAGAGCTGTCGGCTAGGACAGCAACGCTCGACTATTCTTTAGTGCTTGATAGTAAAAAAAAAATCCTTGATAGCAATTACCTCCTCCTGTTTACAGGTTGGGGTTATGATGGTGAACAAGTGTGCAAAGTTTCAAAGCCATATGTCAATGGACTTTGAAAATATTTGAACTATTACAAAAACTTTAACGTAAATTCTAAGTCGAAAAAGGGGCATAATTCTGTCAAAATGCTTGATACAGTTACCTCTCTCCTGTCTACAGGTTGGGGTCATGATGGTGAACAAGTGTGCAAAGTTTCAAAGCCATATGTCAATGGACTTTGAAAATATTTGAACTATTACAAAAACTTTAAAATAAATTCTAAGTCGAAAAAGGGGCATAATTCTGTCAAAATGCTTGATACAGTTACCTCCTCCTGTCTACAGGTTGGGGTCATGATGGTGAACAAGTGTGCAAAGTTTCAAAGCCATATGTCAATGGACTTTGAAAATATTTGAGGTATTACAAAAACTTTAACGTAAATTCTAAGTTGAACAAGAGCTGTCGGTAGGACAGCAACGCTCGACTATTCTTAGTGCTTGATAGTAAAAACAAAATGCTTGATACAGTTACCTCCTCCTGTTTACAGGTTGGGGTCATGATGGTGAACAAGTGTCCAAAGTTTCAAAGCCATAAGTCAATGGACTTTGAAAATATTTGAGGTATTACAGAAACTTTAACATAAATTCAAAGTCGAAAAAGGGGCATAATTCTGTGAAAATGCTTGATAGAGTTACCTCCTCATGTCTACAGGTTGGGGTCATGATGGTGAACAAGTGTGCAAAGTTTCAAAGCCATATATCAATGGACTTTGAAAATATTTGAACTATTACAAAAACTTTAACGTAAATTCGAAGTCGAAAAAGGGGCATAATTCTGTCAAAATGCTTGATAGAGTTACCTCCTCCTGTCTACAGGTTGGGGTCATGATGGTGAACAAGTGTGCAAAGTTTCAAAGCCATATATCAATGGACTTTGAAAATATTTGAGGTATTACAAAAACTTTAACGTAAATTCTAAGTCGAAAAAGGGGCATAATTCTGTGAAAATGCTTGATACAGTTCCCTCCTCCTGTCTACAGGTTGGGGTCATGGTGGTGAACAAGTGTCCAAAGTTTCAAAGCCATAAGTCAATGGACTTTGAAAATATTTGAACTATTACAAAAACTTTAACGTAAATTCTAAGTCGAAAAAGGTGCATAATTCTGTCAAAATGCTTGATAGAGTTACCTCCTCCTGTCTACAGGTTGGGGTCATGATGGTGAACAAGTGTGCAATGTTTCAAAGCCATATGTCAATGGACTTTGAAAATATTTGAACTATTACAAAAACTTTAACATAAGTGGTTACGCCGACGCCGACGCCCGGGTGACTACAATAGCTCTACTTATTCTTATCGAATAGTCGAGCTAAAAAGGGGCATAATTCTGTCAAAATGCTTGATAGAGTTACCTCCTCCTGTCTACAGGTTGGGGTCATGATGGTGAACAAGTGTGCAAAGTTTCAAAGCCATATGTCAATGGACTTTGAAAATATTTGAACTATTACAAAAACTTTAACATAAGTGGTTACGCCAACGCAGACGCCGACGCTCGGTGACTACAATAGCTCTACTTATTCTTATCGAATAGTCGAGCTAAAAATGACAAGGTAGACAAAAGCCCCCCCCCCATGAAATTTACACATAGGACAAAAAAAAAAACCATCAAAAATACAGGTAGCGACAAAAGCCCCACCCCCCCCCCCCCCGCAATTGTTTTAAAAGATAATTTACATAATTGTTTTAACAGATAATTTACATTAAGAGTATTAAAGTTTTAATTTGATTTATTGTGTAATTCGTATATAATTCATTGATGATATGAATGTTTTTATGTTTACTTTATTATATATGTAAATTAATACTTTCAGAGAATCATTTATCAATGCTTATCAAGGAAATAAAAGTGAAAGGCGCATACTTGTCTAGATTTATTTGAAGTATAACCCAAGTTCCCTAACACTGGACGTGTGAAAAAAAGATAGTTATGAGTCTGATCTATAAACCTTAGGAGGCTTTTGTTTGCCGGACTGGGGGGCTTTTGTCCTACTTGTATTTTTGATGGGGGGGGGGCTTTTGTCCTATGTGTAAATTTCATGGGGGGGGGGGCTTTTGTCCACCTTGTCATTTTTAGAAGGGGGGCTTTCGTCCGCGGGGACTTTTGTCCTACACTCCTTCTAGATCATTGTCTGTGGTGTTTGTTACTTTTTACTGTTAAGACAATAGTTTTTTTTTTTTTTTAAATTAAATTTCTATTCATCTTACATGATTTATTCTGATGATATACTATAGAAAGGCTCTAATTGTTAGATAAATAAGTAAAATATTTACCTGGTTGGTCTAAAAGAGCGTCTGATATTAAATGATTGGCCAGTGCATTATAATATTCCGCTTTCACCTGTGCCATTGACAACCAGGAGTATGGGATATAGTCTTTAACTTGATCGGCACTCATCAGTTGTTGAGTATCTCGGTACATTTGAGACACCTAGATAAAACAAATACATTGAGTACATCTGTAAATTTTTAAGGGGCCTCCGTGGCCGAGTGGTTAAGGTCGCTGACTTGAGATCACAGGTCCCTCACCGCTGAAGGTTCGATCCTCACTCGGGTCGAAATCTTTCATGTGAGGAAGCCATCCAGCTGGCTTACGGAAGGTCGGTGGTTCTACCCAGATGCCCGCTGGTGCCTGAAATAATGCCCGGAGGCCGGGAGGGGCACCTGGGGTCTTCCTCCACCAATAAAGCTGGAAATAAATTGACGAAAAAATATCGGCGGGACGCTCTAGGATGGCCCGACTTGAGTGTACGATCGCCCATATGGGCTTTCAAGCGGCGACCTTAAATAAACGCATTAAAAAAAAAAACAAGAGGGCCATGATGGCCCTGAGGTCGCTCACCTGTATATAGGCTCCATCCAACCCCCAACCCCCCCCCCCCCCCCCAATGTTGCAGGGCCAATTTAACCCAAGGGCTTTTATTTGCACAAACTTGGTAGACACCCATAAGAAGATGTTTCATGCTAAACATCTAACCTCTAGCTCATTGGGCTTTTTAAAAGTAGATTTTTTTAAAGTTTTTACTATACACATATAGTTAAAAACAATGACACCCCTGGGGCCGGCCAGTTTTGACCCCAGGGCTTTTATTTGAACAAACTTTGTAGACACTTACTAGAAGATGTTTCATGCTTAATATCTAAACTCTAGCTATTTGGGTTTTTTCAAAGAAGATTTTTTAAGTTTTTTACTATATGCATATAGGGAAAATCAATGACCCCCGGGGCGGGGCCAATTTTGACCCAAGGTCTTTTATTTGAACAAACTTTGTAGACACTCACTAAAAGATGTTTCATGCTTAATATCTTAACTCTAGCTATTTGGGTTTTCTCAAAGAAGATTTTTTAAGTTTTTGCTATACACATATAAGGAAAATCAATGACCCCCGGGCGGTGCCAATTTTGACCCCAGGGCTTTTATTTGAACAAACTTGGTAGACACCCATTAGAACATGTTTCATGCTAAATATCTTAGCCATAGCTCTTTGAGTTCTTTAAAAGAAGATTTTTTAAGTTTTTACTATATGCATATAGGGAAAATCAATGACCCCCCGGGGCGGGGCCAATTTTGACCCCAGGGCTTTTATTTGAACAAACTTGGTAGACACTCACTAGAAGATGTTTCATGCCAAATATCTAAGCTCTAGCTCTTATGGTTCTTTAAAAGAAGATTTTTAAAGTTTTTACTATATGCATATAGGGAAAATCAATGACCCCCCTGGGCGGTGCCAATTTTGACCCCAGGGCTTTTATTTGAACAAACTTGGTAGACACCTATTAGAACATTTTTGATGCTCAATATCTTAGCCATAGCTCTTTGAGTTCTTTAAAAGAAGATTTTTTAAGTTTTTACTATATGCATATAGGGAAAATCAATGACCCCCCGGGGCGGGGCCAATTTTGACCCCAGGGCTTTTATTTGAACAAACTTGGTAGACACCCATTAGAACATGTTTCATGCTAAATATCTTAGCTCTAGCTCATTGGGTTCTTTAAAAGAAGATTTTTTAAGTTTTTACTATATGCATATAGGGAAAATCAATGACCCCCCGGAGCGGGGCCAATTTTGACCCCAGGGCTTTTATTTGAACAAACTTGGTAGACACTCACTAGAAGATGTTTCATGCCAAATATCTAAGCTCTAGCTCTTATGGTTTTTTAAAAGAAGATATTTAAAGTTTTTTCTTTCGGTTGCCATGGCAACCAGAGTTCTGCATGGAATTAAATTCTTTGAACAATTTTTAAAGGTGACCACCAAAGGAACATTCCTGTGAAGTTTGGATGAAATTGGCTTAGTGGTTTATGAGGAGATGTCATTTAAAGTAAAAGTTTACGGACGGACGACGGACGGACGGACGATGGACGGACGGACGACGGACGGACGCCGGACAAAAAGCGATCACAAAAGCTCACCCTGTCACTTTGTGACAGGTGAGCTAAAAAAATCTGTAAATTTCAGACAAATAGATTAAACATATCAACTATCAACATGATGTTCCTTCATTTTTAATTAATTCTAAAAATCTCCAAGGACACACATGTTGAATATAATTGATAACTTTGAGAAAATTAATTATAAATTGTTATCTATCAAATTTGACATATATTTTAACAAATGACACATTGTGTACTTGTCCTTTACTCAGTCTGGCCTAACCATTGTCATTACTGGACCATACTAGGTGTAAACCTTTGGGATTTTCAGCTTTTACCATTTACAAAGACATTTGTAATTTTTATTTAGTGTATAATTTGGGTCGTCTGTGGCCGAATTGTTAAGGTCATTGACTTCACCTACCCCTCACCAATGTGGGTTCGAATCCTGACAGGGACTTTCAATTCTTTCATGTGAGGAAGCTTAATTAAGCTATCTTACAGAATGTCGGCAGTTCTACTCAGGTGCCCAATCATGCCTGAAATTATGCACGGAAGTGCATCTGAGGTCTTCCTAACCAGTGTACCATAACTTATATTGTCATTCTATCAACCACTACCTGTAACTAAACGGGGGCCTTACAATCTACACATTTTGGCAAACAAGATATTATATATATTACCATTGAAGCTTCTTGTGCTGCATATGAATACTGTAGTATACCCTGAGTGACACCATGTAATGTCAGACTCTCATAAACACATTCCTGAGCTTGAGACTGAAATATAATATATAAAATAAGATAATAATTGAGAAAAAGTTATCTTTATAACTTGGCTTGACTATAAATTGTAAATAAATAACTAAAATTAAAAATATTTAACTGTATGCTTGATTTTGGAATCCAGGTCTGCCCCCCCCCCCCACTTTAACCCCTCCAGGACACTTATCCCCTAGTCTTGAAATGCATAACTGGACATATGCCCCCCCCCCCCCCCACCCCAAGTAAAAAAGGAAAGGTGAACATTTGCAAACAAAGTTTGGAAATTTATTTCAAAAATAATAAAAAAAAAGTTTAAGTATACTAAATAAAAGCATTCTTTTACAACTTAAATTTAACTTATTTTTTTAGGGGGCAAAATTGTCTGAGGGCGCAAATGTCATAGAATCACAAAGGATCACAAAATCCCATCTTATAAAATTGATTTCCTAAGCGGAAATAAAGAACCTAGGCGGAAATAAAGAACTTAAATTTTCTTATGCGGATGAAAACCTACTCTTAAAATTTCTTTGGAAAATTTAAAGTCAGATTTATGTCTGCATACAGTAATTTTACATTGTGAGGTTTTGTTTGTCTCTCAAAGTACATGTAACTGGATGTGCAAACAATTATCTAAGATGACACTAGGGATTAATGTCTGCTTTGTCAGAAATAAGAATCAGTCAAAATAAATGGAATTTTGATGGTGAGGAATTGTCCAGATATTAAAATAGTCTACTTTCAGAATCAAAATTACCTATTTCTTAGACAGAAAAAATGACAGAGGCAAATTTAATTTTTCTTTATTTCTGAATCGAATATCTCTTTAATTGTATTTTTACATAGTTATTACAATATGATCTAATCTTTTAGAAATATATTGAAAAAAAGGAAGTTTTTCCTCTATTTCTACCATACTAATGAAAAAAGAATGATAAAATCTAAAAAATATTATCTAAAAAAATATAAATATATAAATGCGGAATAACAGATTGGGACTAAGTGTCTTACAGGCTTTTTTTAAATAAAAAAGCACACCATACCCTGTTAATTAAGTTATGATGTCTATAAAGCCTGGCATGTGTCAATTACCAATTTAAAATTTTCACACCTACACTCTGATTAGTTACCTATATTTCCACTGACCTTACATGTACACTTATGACTGAAGCCAGGTGACACTTTCAAGCTGACAGTTTTACACCTAGGTACCAGGTCTGATCCCCTATACACAAGGGAAGGGGGTATTGCTTGGGAATATACAAGAAAGCTCTAATTGACACTACACTAAAGCAGGTGTCACTCAGTACCTGTCTTGGTTTACATCCTAATATAAACTCAGAAAATTCATGCAGTATTTATTAGTACCATTACATTTGTCTGAGATTGAAATTAAATTAATTTAAAAGCTATATACATATCACTAAGGATTACTATTTATCAGGTAAAAACGTTAAGAAATAAATCTTTCATTGAGATAAAACTGACAAAAAAGACATTGATTATACCATAGACTGTAATTGACAATTAATTAAAGTCTGTGATCATAAATGAAAGTAAAGATATTTATTTTAAAGGGCATAAATTTCTGCTTAAAAAATATGTTTGAATCTTAAAAAAAATGTTTCCAAAGTGCTTGGAAGCAAATTGAAAAATATTTTATTCTTGAGCATTTTATTATGTTTAATATTAAATATTAAAATAAATTAATGTGTGTTAAGTAACAGAAACATTCTATGTTATAACCTTTTTGACATTCAACCAGATCATTATGGAAACAAAATAATTTTACTGTTGATAAATCTATATCTAAAAATATTGCTTTATATCCTTAATTTGATAAATACATTTAAATAAATATGTTTTTATAAAGATTTTTTTATATAGTTCTTTTTATATAGATATTTTAATTTATTAATACAGATTTTTTAATAAAAGATATTTTAATAGATATGTTTTAATAAATATGTTTAATAAATATGTTTTTATAAAGATTTTTTTATATAGATCTTTTAATTTATTAATACAGATTTTCAAAAAAAAAATATTTTAATAAATATGTCTGAATAAATATGTTTTCATAAAGATTTTTTCATAAAGATGTTTATAAAAAGATATTTTTTCATAAAGATTTTTTCATGAATATTTTTTAATAAAGATGTTGATATTGAGATGTGACATACAACAGACATTTTTAAAAATGCATCTTTGTACAATTTTATCAGAATTACGTTTGAATAATTTGTTTAAAAAGTGAACTGGGATAAATATTCAATAAAGCTTGACTTTTTTTTTTTGGGGGGGGGGGGGGGGGGGACATTTAAAATACTGAAAGAAGGCAAATACTATAACCAGACACATATTTTTATCATAACAGTTAATTCTTTCTTTTCAGAAAGTGGTAACTTGGCAACAAAAGTCCTTGTGAAGTTTAAACAGAGAGCCTAGATATCTTCATTCTTGACAAGATTATAATCTCAAAGCCCCTGTGGACTTAAGTGATAATTACATAACATATAACAATACATTATTAGTGAATGGTTATTTGATTATGTAGCTTAGCAGACTTGTAAACAACTTGTTAACTGATTGAAAATAACAAGAATACTTTCTTTACAAATTAATATCTATCAAAACAGCTAGTGATAAATATTGCATAATCTGATAAAATTTAGAAATTCCTGTGAAAAAAAGGGAAACGTGCTAGAAATATATCAATAAAGGGGACCTAGCTTATGGATTATTTGTCAAACTTGAAGGACGTTAAGTCAGTTATAGCATCTGTGTTTCGTGATTATATCTGTGTTCAAGGATCAAATATGAAGTATACAAAACTGGGAGATGAGATCGAGAGTCAGGAGAATCTCGACAGCTTCAACAATGATCTCATCAGTGATATGTTTGACGGAGAGAGATATAACTGTGATCTCGGATCTCTACAAGCCATCACCTTGTACAGTGACAGTGATAGCTCTTTCAGTTCACAGCCTAGTGTATTAAGTGACAAGGGAACTAACTCTAACAATACTGCTACAGAGATTGTTGAGAAGTGTGATTCACAGAATGAGTCATTTGACGAAGATGTACCAACACGACTTGTGATTACATATCAATTCTCTTTTGATACCGAAGTGGATGATGTTATAGATAATGATGATGAACATGATAGTAATGAGGAAGATGTGTTTGAAAATTGTTCTGAGAGTTCATTCTGTAGTGATAATGATGTAGATATGCTGGAATATAGCAGTGTTAAAAACGGAAGTAAGAACAACCTTCTAGACTGCGATTTTGAGGAAACCCCGGAGAATGGTGTACAAAATGTTGGCCTTGTAGACTATGAATCTGATTCAGAATCCAGTAACTCTGTCCCAACCCAGAGCCATGATTCTGATCCCAGTGACCTTGAAAATAGTGTTGTTGAGGAATGTTATGAGAATGTGTCCAGTTACTGTGGTAACCCATCAAAACCATGTATGAGGAATGGATTTATTTATTATTCCAGTGAGATCAGACTGTATCAAGGTGAACTACGTTATGATGACACATATCCTGAGAAGAAGTTTACCTTAGCTAGAAAACTGTTTAGGAAAGTCTTTCCTTCTCAGAAGTATGTAGTTAATGCTTAGACACAGTGAACATTAGGTGAAAAGTGGTTTCAGCTGACAGCCCAACTAGTGCTTTTTGCAATGTATATATTTGAATTAAATAGCTTTGCATTTTCAATTTCATGCTGATTATAGTGATATCAATGTAATAAATATGCTTTATGTGTTTTTTTCAACTTCTGATAAGCATTTATCTTAAACTTCAATATCCTAAATATTACATAAAATAAAATTTCTATACTACTTTGGTGACTTTGTAAGGTACAATAAATAAGATTTCATTTGAATTTTGTCATTCTGTATATTACTTAGACATCCTTATTATAAATAAATACCAGTTGATAATTGATATGTTTTGTGTTTCCTTGTTACTTATTTTCATAATATCCCATGTTTGTTCCTGATATACAATTTTCTTTCCAAAAAGGTTCGTTTAAGGGGAAGAAAGATCCCTCACCTCGCATAATTTATTTCAATACACACCAGTCAAGATAAAGACAGTAAGAGCGAAGTGTAAAATTGTGAAACAAATCAAATCAAATTCATTTAACATGCTTCAATTTATTCTCCAGTACATAGGCAGATATTAATAAGAAAACTAATAAATGTAGGATAACAGTCTTTGACGCCCCCTTCCTAAAAAAAATAATATTTTTTTGAGTTTCAAGATAGTTAAAGAGTTATTAGAATGAAAAATACATCAATTTGTTATCTGTAAACTGTCCTTTTTCCCTACTGCAAAATAAAAATTCCTGCAATATTCTGCGCAACTACCATAAAAACAAAATAATAAATTTGTCAAACTCTTTGAACAGTTTTTCACAATCACTGGTCTTAATTAACGATATTAAATGTATAGTGAATCATTTGTTTTCCACCATTATGACTTGTTAAAACCCATTATGACTTGGTATTATCAAAAAAGGATAAATGCATGATCAAATCAAAAATTAAATAAAAACATGTGCCAAAAATCAATCAATTAAAGTGTAGTTTTTATTTTGAGGAATATAGGACAGTTATATGCACAGCTGGAATTGTTTAACCCACACTGCAACCATCCTGCCAACATTCACAAATTTAATAACAAATTTCTGTCAGAAAACCCATTAGAAATTCAGATAAATTTAAAGTATAAAGTGTTCCTACCATCATAAGTTGGACTAGCATCGTGAGAGTCTGTGGTTGCATGTCCATGGAAGGGGCATGACTGAAGTGGTTGTGAAGGTAGCGAAAAGCCCCACCTGCTAACTCAAAATACTTGATTGCCCGACTCAATCCATCTTTCGTTAATCTATCCTGTTAAAACAATCAAAAAAAAATATTACTTATGACTTACAATAACTTATTTGATTTGAAGAAGTGAAAACTTATTGTTCTTGTTGACTAATGAAACTTTTTTCCCTCTTATTCCCCATTATATTCATTCCTGTAACAACTTGTACTGCCACTATCCTGACACAAATATCCCTGCTTGTCACTTTTCATATTAACATTAAAATAATGCTCTGGACAAATCAAATACGAAAAATTACAAAGGACAAATAAATAAAAGAACCGCAAGAGTTGTTAACGCTCATCTGGTAAAAATTCTAAAATAAAAAGGAGTATAATTCTAAAAATATTGCTTTTATAATTATGCCCCTTGTTTAACAACTGCATAATGTCATGATAAGCAAGTAATCCATTTTATGTTGATGCCTTTTATAATGTATGTGTAATGGACCACATTAAAGTTTTTGCATGGCCTCAACGCCAGAACATTGACCATAATAGGTTGATTTTACTTTGAAACAGATGTTATTCTTAAAACAAAATCAAACCTGAAAAATAATAAAGGGCAATGACTCTAAAATTAAATTTTAAATTTCTCATCAATAAGATCACTACTTCTAGTTTCAAGTTGACATCGCCAATACTTTTTTAAGTTATGTGCAAAACAAAATTTAAGTTTGCAAAATTACAAATCAAAAACTATGCCAAACAAGAACGTGTTTGTTAAACACAAATGCCCCCGGCTCAGATTCTTGTCAGTAGCAATACTTCAAAAAATGTTTACCCATTCACTCAGTTATGGACAGAAAAATCGCCAAAAAATTGTAAACACAAGTTTTACTGCTTGACAAAGTCATGGCATTTTGTAATTGTGAAAAATATAAGTTGCCAAGTCATTGCTCTGACTTGTGAAGTTGAAAAATATTCAACTTCATGCAAGTTATCTTCCTACCAAATATGAAATACATCTGTCATTAAATAAAGGCTGTATAGGCAAAAGTGTAAAAATCTATTTTGAGCACTGGTGACCTTGACCAAACTGACCCCTAACTCTATCCAAAAGAAGAATACCATGTAATTTATCTTCCTACCAAATATGAAATACATCTGTCAATAAATAAGGCTGTATGGGCAAAAGTGTAAAAAATTTATTTTTAGCACTTCTGACCTTGACCCCAACTGACCCCTTACTCCATCCAAAGGAAGAATACCAAGTTACTTCCTACCAAATATGAAATACAACTATCAATAAATAAAAGCTGTATGGGCAAAAGTGTAAAAATCTATTTTGAGCACATGTGACCTTGACCCACTGATCCCTACCCCAATCAAAAGGATGAATACCATGCAAATTATCTTCCTACCAAATATCTGTCACTTAATAAAGGCTGTATGAGCAAATGTGTAAAAATCTATTTTTAGCACTGGTGACCTTGACCCAACTGACCACTAACTCCATCAAAGTTTATGTTTCTATCAATTATAAATAACAGAATAAGGTCAATACACCTGTAAAAATGTAAAAATCTATTTTTAACATTGGTGACCTTGAAATTGGTGACATTGACCTTGACCCAAATGACCCCATACTACACCCAAAGAAGGAGGTGTTTGTACTAAACTAAAACATCAACTAAACAAGAGGGCCATGATGGCCCTGAGGTCGCTCACCTGTATATAGGCCCCCCACCCCCGGGCCAATTTTTACCCAAGGGCTTTTATTTGTTTATTTGAACAGACTTGGTAGACACCCATAAGAAGATGTTTCATGCTAAACATCTAAGTTCTAGCTCATTGGCTTTTTTAAAAGAAGATTTTTAAAGTTTTTACTATACACATCTAGTTTAAAACAATGTCACCCCTGGGGCAGGGCCAGTTTTGACCCCCGGGCGTTTATTTTAACAAACTTTGTAGATATTTACTTAAAGATGTTTCATGCTTAATATCTAAACTCTAGCTATTTGGGTTTTTCCAAAGAAGATTTTTAAGTTTTTGCTATACACATATAGGGAAAATCAATGACCCCCCCCCCCGGGCGGGGCCAGTTATGACCCCTGGGCTTTTATTTGAGCAAACTTGGTAGACACCCATTAGAACATGTTTCATGCTAAATATCCTAGCTCTAGCTCTTTGAGTTCTTTAAAAGAAGATTTTTTAAGTTTTTACTATATGCATAAAGGGGAAAATCAATGACCCCCTGGGGCGGGGCCAGTTTTGACCCCAGAGCTTTTATTTGAACAAACTTGGTAGACACTCATTAGAAGATGTTTCATGCTAAATATCTTAGCTCTAGCTCTTTGGGTTCTTTAAAAGAAGATTTTTTAAGTTTTTACTATATGCATATAGGGAAAATCTATGACCCCCTGGGGCAGGGTCAATTTTGACCCCAGGGCTTTTATTTGAACAAACTTGGTAGACACCCATTAGAACATGTTTCATGCTAAATATCCTAGCTCTAGCTCTTTGAGTTCTTTAAAAGAAGATTTTTTAAGTTTTTACTATATGCATAAAGGGGAAAATCAATGACCCCCTGGGGCGGGGCCAGTTTTGACCCCAGGGCTTTTATTTGAACAAACTTGGTAGACACTCATTAGAAGATGTTTCATGCTAAATATCTTAGCTCTAGCTCTTTGGGTTCTTTAAAAGAAGATTTTTTAAGTTTTTACTATATGCATATAGGGAAAATCTATGACCCCCTGGGGCAGGGTCAATTTTGACCCCAGGGCTTTTATTTGAACAAACTTGGTAGACATTCACTAGAAGATGTTTCATGCCAAATATCTAAGCTCTAGCTCTTATGGTTCTTTAAAAGAAGATTTTTTAAGTTTTTACTATATGCATATAGGGAAAATCAATGACCCCCTGGGGCTGGGCCAATTTTGACCCCAGGGCTTTAATTTGAACAAACTTGGTAGACACTCACTAGAAGATGTTTCATGCTTAATATCTTAGCTCTAGCTCTTTGGGTTCTTTAAAAGAAGATTTTTTAAGTTTTTACTATATGCATATAGGGAAAATCAATGACCCCCTGGGTCGGGGCCAATTTTGACCCCAGGGCTTTTATTTGAACAAACTTCGTAGACATTCACTAGAAGATGTTTCATGCCAAATATCTAAGCTCTAGCTCTTACGGTTCTTTAAAAGAAGATTTTTTAAGTTTTTACTATATGCATATAGGGAAAATCAATGACCCCCTGGGGCGGGGCCAATTTTGACCCCAGGGCTTTTATTTGAACAAACTTGGTAGACACTCACTAGAAGATGTTTCATGCCAAATATCTAAGCTCTAGCTCTTATGGTTTTTTAAAAGAAGATATTTAAAGTTTTTTCTTTTGGTTGCCATGGCAACCAGAGTTCTGCATGGAATTAAATTCTTTGAACAATTTTTAAAGGTGACCACCAAAGGAACATTCCTGTGAAGTTTGGATGAAATTGGCTCAGTGGTTTATGAGGAGATGTCATTTAAAGCAAAAGTTTACGGACGGACGGACGACGGACGGACGACGGACGGACGGACGCCGGACGAAAAGCGATCACAAAAGCTCACCCTGTCACTTTGTGACAGGTGAGCTAAAAATAAAGGCTGTATGAGCAAAAAGGTTTATATTTATTTTTTAAACGAGTGACCTTGACCTTGACCCTAGAGACCGCTTACCCCCAAAAAAAATAGAGGACCATCAAAGGTATCCACCTACTAAATATGAAAGATATCAGTAAAGAAATTAAGCAATTAGGAGAAATTTAAGATAAATCCAACTTGCCGAAATAGGTTAACCAGACAAGGCCCTATTTTCAAAGTGAAAAAAGGGAAATAACTGGGAAATATGGATGACACAGTTATATAACTTGGCAATATCATGTGCTTTGTATTGATAAGTCGGTGTGGAAATTATTAAGCCATTAGTATAGATAGAACTTAAGATATTTCTAACTTGCCGTTTTAGGTTAACCATTTTTCATTTTCTAAGTGCTGAAAAGGGCAATAACTTGGTAAATATGAAAACCAGAGTTATGAAACTTGCCCAGATCATGTACTTTGTATTGATTAGTAAGTGTGTAAACTTAGAAGCCATTGGTACAGGTAGAACTTAAGAAAAATCCAACTTGCCGTTCTAGGTTAACCTCGTACGGACAGACGGACAGATGGACGGACGGTTCAATTACTATATGCCCGGGGGCATAAAAAGAGTTATGGTTCTTGACACTGAATGAGATCTATCCACATTTTTAAGTTGATACCATAAACACTGTAGTCTCTGGACAAAAATTAACTTTTTTTTAGTTTTTTAGTTATGTCATCAACAAACTACCCTGGCAGCTGGACAAGCCCATTCAGTATTCCTCCATTACAAGTCTGTTATTGATATGGTACAAAAATAGCTGATAAATAATACAGATCATACAAAAAATTACAGTTCATGCATCAGAGTATCATTGTAGTTTTTAAAAAAAAATGTATGTAGCTAAACCTTAGATTTCAGACAAAAATATACATTCTAACACGACCCGCATTTTTCCCTATTGAACATAGAAGAACCGAAAGTGTGTGTTATTATGCTATAAAATCACTGTTTGACGTTCTATATTTAGACATGTGACGTAATCATTATACACGTGACGTAACCACTAAAAATGTGACGCGCTGACAATAAGTACGGAAACAAATCAGGCGCAATTAAGCTAATTATAATGTACGGCAGCATTTATTTGTTGATGTCGTGTTAGAATCGAAATAATATATCCAAATCGGTGATTTTATTGCTTGATAACATCACTGTTTGTCGTTCGGATGCGCATCATTATATCACTCGGGCTACGCCCTCGTGATATAATTCCCTGCATCCGAACTCCAAACAGTGATGTTATTGAGCAATAAAATCACAGTTTGGGATATATTATTTCTTAAACATCATGTGAACACATGCTCACCTGTTTACAAGCAATTTGTGTATATAGTGCCCCAATGTTAAACATCACACATCCCTTCTCAAATGTCAAAGTTTTCTGAATGTTTGGAACCCCAGTTAGTGAATCATACCTGAAATAAGATACATGTCATGACTTAAAGGATAAAAAGCTATATGTTATGGAATATTTTTTATAAAATTTATAAATAGTAAAATAAAGTTTATATTATCTTATGATAAATTCTTTAAAATGAAGTGAAGTGTGTCTCCATTATTTAACACAAATGACAGTCTGCGAAATAACTTTTTTAGATCATGGGCCATTTGGGCTTTCAACCCAGGCAGAAGTAAAGGCCGGGACAGAATATGACAAGCCAAAAACATTTATTATGCAAAATAAAGACAACAGTTTATTTTATGTTTTATTCACATTATTAAGGTTCAATTTATTCAAGGAAAATCAGTCAGCCACCTTTCAATAAAATTCTCATTTTCGGTTCTTATATATACTCAACATTACTTGTCAATGTACTGCTTTCCACTTTATTTATTTAAAATATGAAAACAAATATCAACAAAGGGAGCATTGCATTCAATGAACATATCCCCTAATTAAAACAACCAATCAACGGTTTCGCTTCAGATGTTTAAATTAGCCGATTCATGTTTGTTGTTCACAAATCTAAATGGGTCAATCTAAAAATAAATGTATTCTTCAACAGAAATTTATCATAACTTCTTCTTTAACCCGCGAACATTTATGATTATACTTGAGCATTGTCTGTATATTTACACTAACCAATAGCTGTAGATGATTATATAGATTATGCATGAATGATTGACATACATGCATTACGCAAATCTTATTGAAAGTGCATATAGGAATACTGATGAAGTACTACACAATTATTTCGGAAAAGTATTGAAACTAAATTTATATGAAAACACATTCTGAATTCAAAGGCCAGTTGGGCTTACAATCATTGGATTTTTGCAGGCCAGAATTGGATAAGATTTTACCAGCCTCGGGCATAGGGCCCTTGCCTTATTTCGCAGACTGCACATGAATATTGTACATAAACATAATAAAATGTTCCAAACAAAACAATATTAAGCTGCTATTTTAAGCAGGATTTTCACCATTTAAGCAGTGATTTCATGCATGCACAATTTGCTTTTGAGAAAGGAAAATAACACATTTCTGTCATACAGATAGTTTGGAAATAATCTGTGTCAAAAATAAAGCAAAGTCATGGAAACTACAGACAGCAGATATATAGCTTTATACTCTTTTGAAAGGAAAAGAAAACTTTTTTCTTTCCAAGGAACATGTCTTAATGAGTGATCTAATTCATATTTACCAATGAAACATTATAGGTATCCTTCTGTCAGCAGGGAAAAATCTCTTCTCTAGAAAATATAGCTGATTGTAATACTCCATCAGTAACTCTACACCCGAGTCATTTCTCTGTGGTGTCCGCAATGCCTATAAAAACCCATTAATTCTATATCTCTGCTTTAATTTGTTAGTGTCAGGTATAAGAAATAATGATTTCTGTTCAAATCAAGTCTTAAGGCCTTCTCAGAAGATCAAAAGAGTATATCTATTTTAATATTTTAATTAGAATGAGCAATCTTCATAATGTGCAGTAATTTTACTTGGCAAATCATAATCAAGTCATAATCTCTCTTTATCAAGTTAATAACAAAAGAAACAAGAACTGTCAGAAAAACAGTATGCTCAACTATTCTCAGATACATGCAGTAAAACAAGAGCTGGGATAATGTAGAATTTTCAAAGATAAAAAAGGGCCATAATTCTATCAAAATCCATGTCACCTATATGGGCCTTACATTGTGACCTCCCATTATACTCTCAAATAAGTGTGTGAATTTTCAACCAATTCCTTTAAAAAGTTTTAAGTGTGACAGCGACGCTGACACCTGGGTAACCGGAGTGAGTACAATGGCTCTCCCTATTCTTTGAAAAGTTGAGCTAAAAAAGATAAAAATGTTATAACTAATGTACTTTACCAGTCTCAATTCGTGCAGATCTTGTATCTCAGTGTCGTAATTATCAGCAACCTCACTGTAATGTTCTAGAATAAAATCCTGAAATATAACAGCAACCTCACTTTAATGTTCTAGAATAAAATCCTGAAATATAACAGCAACCTCACTATAATGTTCTAGAATAAAATCCTGAAATATAACAGCAACCTCACTATAATGTTCTAGAATAAAATCCTGAAATATAACAGCAACCTCACTGTAATGTTCTAGAATAAAATCTTGAAATATAACAGCAACCTCACTGTACAGTAATGTTCTAGAATAAATCCTGAAATATAAACTAACTGTAGTCTTATAAAGCATGCAAAAATGAATTACTGAAATACAAATGGAATATGTAGCCTGATGAAGTGTTCAATAATAAAATCCTGAAATATGACGGGGCACTGGATGTAGTTCTAGAATAAAATCCTGAAAAACACACTGAGTATATAAAATTGAAGTTGTGTTCTGATTTTAAACAAGTTTTTTAGAATCATTTTAAAAAGAGATTGTTAAATGTACAAAAATGTGCCAGGAATTTTTACATGAGCTGTACATTGTACATATATCTAAAATAAGATTACCTTTATTGCAATTTTGTAATCAATATCTTTTGTTTCCTTCAGTCCCAGTGGAATCATAGGTACAACAGTAGAACTAAAATAAAAATAAAGAAGAAAACACTATAAACTTATATAAATTAAATGTTAAACAACTTTTTTTCAGTGACAGTTATCTGAACATATTGAATAAAAATCTGTTCTACCAAATATAAAACCAGACACATGGAGACTTTTAACTTTAACATTAGTTTTTTGAAACAAGAAATCCTTTTTTTGGAAATGAAATCACATGAAATTGAATAATCAATGTACAACATATATCCAAAGTTTGTAGCAGGATTCATTCATCAAGTGTGAAAGTTAATAGAATAAAGTTTATTGAAACAGAAACAAATTTAAAATTGAATACAGTAATGCAAATACATATGAGCCGTGTCACGACAAAACCAACATAATGGCTTTGCGACCAGCATGGATCCAGACCAGCCTGCGCATCCGCGCAGTCTGATCAGGATCCATGCTGTTCGCTTACAAACCCTATTACAAGTAGAGAAACTGATAGCGAACAGCATGGATCCTGATCAGACTGCGCGGATGCGCAGGCTGGTCTGGATCCATGCTGGTCGCAAACGCATAACGTTGGTTTTGTCATGACGCGGCTCATATAACTAAATATATATGATGATAAGAAGAGGAATGGGGGCTTACTTGTCATGTTGGTATATATTTACAGAACTATTTAGATCTGACACTTCTTCTTTCAACAGCTGTATGTTAGAATTAAAGAACAATAACTCCACTGATACAAGCTCTTTTAATCTCTTGTTATCTGTTGCTCTGTATAAATGTTAAAACAACAAACATAAGAAATCAGAAACAGAAAATTAAAACATCGTGTTTTTGTCCTGAAAGTTTTTATGAATAACCCTTAGAAGCAAAGGAATTTGCATGGTTCGACCTTTTTATATACTTTGGGACCTTTCTAGAAATAAACTGAAATTGAAACTTCTCTGCTGTTTCATAACTTCTGTTACTTTCTCTAAAGGCCCATTAAGCCTTAAAAAGTGCTCTTATTTCTTTTTCTCATTTTTGAGAATTATTTTTGGTGTCCTGTTACAGTTTCGGTTCCAAACTATTCCTCACTTAACTAAAAGTTGAGCCATATTTTGTGCTTTAGCAATTAGTACACTTATAGTAACTCAGTATACTACATTTTTTATGAATGTCATAATAACACTTTGTTTACATTTTGCTACCTTTATAACTAATTACTTTAAAGTTAAATTTTAAAAGTGATAAGCATCTCACAAGTTTCAAATCTTATAAAATACATAATTGGCTTCCCACTGAATAAAAACAAAAGTATTTATATGTGGCAAATTGTGCCTTTAATATAAATAATGACAAGACTTTGTTACAAATATCAAGTATATTAAGTTAGGCTTTTAAGCCATAAAAGCACATTCGAAGTTCACAACTTTCAAGCTTTAACGGAGACCCTATAAGAAACTGTGTATAACTTCTGAGCAATGTCTGAGTTTATACTCTTTAGCAATTAGATTAATTCTCTACTTCTTGGCACATCCATTTACTATGGCATTTAGTATTATGACCTCTGCAAAACTATAATCGACAAGTCAATTTTAATAGTGCTAGAAAGTGCATGAAACAAATTATGATTTAAAAAAGATTTAACTGATCTAAAACTGTGGCAAAATACTCTAAAATATGTTTGAATAAGCTTAGCCATTCATAAATACTGACCTGAAGAGATTTTCTGCTCCATTTCGCATTCGTAACTCTCTGTTAATTTCATCATTCAGCTTGGAACGTTTTTTCTGCAATTTCCCTCTGGCTGTTGACAGGAGAGGGTCACACCCCTAACAATAAATAAAAACGTACATAAATATTGGATCTTAGGAGGGAATACAAAATCTCATTGGGGACCCAACTTTATGGCTCAATAATATCTATGATCAGGGGATCTAAACCCCACACAAGGTGAGCAGCTCTGGTAAAATAAATTCAATCATCCTTCAAACACTGGCATCAAAGTAGAAGGTAACATACTTCATCAACTGAAATCTGAAAATATAGCCATAATCTTTAAGAAGGGTGATAAGTTAAACCTAGCTAACTATAGGCCAATTACCCTGATATGTGTACTCAGTTAAACTCTTGAACACATTGTTGCCTCATCAATCATAAAGCACTTTCATTCTATACCATTTCTGACTCCAACATAAATACTATTAAAAAATATCCTGTTTGACTTAACTTATTATGTTAGTAAATGACCTTCTCATACCTGTCTATTGCAAGATACTACTAGACCTCATCCTCTTAAACTCTAGAGAAGCTTTTGATAAGGTCAGCTATATAATAAACTATATAGATAATGTATAACTATGGCATAAGAGGTCAAACACTTAAATAGGTCAAAGCTCTCTAATCCTGGGGAGTACTTTTGGAGTTCCCCAGGGATTGGTGCTTGGACCCCTTCAGGGGCTTCTCTTTTTTGCATCCAGTGACCTCCCACAGGACAACCGACATTCAATCAAAAGTTCTCCTATTTGCTGATCATATTGCTATAAACCTTAACACTAGGTCAGCAATCAGAAACTCTTAAAAAAAAACTTAAATACCATAGAAAAATAGCAGTCAGATTTGGATTTGCAGTTCAACCCATACAATTTACAAATGTCAAGTAATCCACCTTAAGAAGATACCCACCATACTAACTAATTATTCTCTTCATAGACCTTATTTCTTTAAGGCTTTTGATATACATGTAGTTGACCGGTTTGTTAATGTCAAGAATATTTTGATTACTTGTTCGGTTGTCCCCGATATTCCTTTGGTTATATTATCCTATCATTTATCAGAATTATTTGAGTAAGCAATCACATGAGCCAGTTGTACAGTATGCAATGTGAAGTGCTGCATTGTGGAATTGGTTTAAGATTTCTTACATTTTGCTTTGACTTCAATAGAGATTGATGCTATTCATGAGATTGAGATATGATGGAAAATCTGTACACAGTTTAGAAGATAAGCACAAAGTACCCTATGTAATACAACCAGTATTATGATAGAGATAAATTGCAAATGTCTGGATGACAAGATAACTTGTTTCATTAATTGTTGCCGCGAAGCATTTTTTTGACTTAAATATAATCATTGAGGTGTTCTGTGTGAAAACGGAAGCAGTGAAATTAACTGTAAATGAAAAACAAAATGACATCTTTAAAAAGGAAAATGCAAAATAAAAATGAAAGATTATTTTAACTGACTTCCCCGTTCTATGCCAGAGTTCCAGATAATTTTATGACACTGGGGGTAATTACCCCCACTTTTCAGAATGTGGGGGTTAATCTAAATATATCATAAATCTACAGAGTAAGATTAAAGGACTTATTCTTTTTTTAATGCACCATCCTTTTATTACACACCATTCTCATAACTCAGTTTATTACATGTACATGTATCTTTCTTTTTACATACATTTCAAAACTATGTACTTTTTTTCTAAGTCACTTAGTCTGGTCCATTTAATCTCTACAAGTCTAAAATTGCATTCAACTGATTTAGTGGTATTTCAAGCGAACAGAATAAAAAAGATGTCCCACACCTTTGTAAAAAATAATTTGATTCTTTGAAAATATCTTTAGCAATTAAGGGGAAAATATAAAATAAATATCTTTTATACATTCCCTGAAAGACCATTTAAAATTTATCAGATTTTCAGCATGAATTTCACTTCAGTTGAAAGGCCTTTCATGTGCATATTCTTAGATTTACATACTTTACATTGTTTACATCAATAATCGGTGACAATGACATAACCAATGCAGATAACCACCTGTCAATTGCCGATTTCTGTCACAGGGACCCAGCACAGTGTTGGGATTGTGTAAAAAAAGTAATTCTAGAAAAAAATATATACTGTATATATAATATATAGTCTATATATTATATATACAGTATATATTTTTTTCTAGAATTACTTTTTTTACACTATCCCAACACTGTGCTGGGTCCCTGTGACTTCTGTATGTTTACGGTGCCTCCATTCATGTATATTACGATTCACATTTACTTGTGTCCTTTTCATTTTAAATACACTACGGTTCACAATAGTTTCGCCGGCAACCTAGTTGTGTTGGAAAAAAATGTCAATTTAGCTCTACTTTTTTCGGCCTTGAAGCAAACATGACCTACGTGTGTATTAACCCATTACTTCATGAGCATTTTGTGAAAAATGGCTGTTTTCATTGAAAAGTCTCTCGTTACAAGTTCAAATTGCTATAATACTATAAAAACTGCTTCAACACTAATCAAACTTGGCACAAATGTTGACTGGACCATTGCACTTGCAACAACATGCTCAGGCTTAAATTTTCTTTACCATGGCAATTTTGGGGGGGCATCTCAAAATTTCCAAAAAACACTTTTTTGCGTTAATTTTTTTCCCTCAAAAATTTATTCAAAATGCTGCCTTTTCAAAGGTTGAGTGAGTCAAAAGCTTTCAGCGTTGGTTAACTTTCCCTTTTGATCAAATTGGGTCATTTAACCCTTACAAATCCAAAATTTTTTTTGGGGATGAGGGGGGCTCGCCCCCCCTTTAAAAACCCCCAAAGAAGGGGAATCCCCTTCTGAAAACCCCCATGTACTTTTTTGGGTTTGGGGGGGGCGCCGAAAAAAAGGACTTTTTTTTTAAAAACATTTTCAAAAAAAAACCCGTGTTTGGGGCCTAAAAAGGGATTTTTTCATCTTTTTAACACAAAAAGGGGGGGGTGAAAAAGGCGTTAAAAGGCGTGTATATGAAGTAATGGGTTAACTGAAAATGATGAAAATACTTGAAATTACCCTAAATCGCGTTTTTTTTCATGTTTAAACATGGCCTGTCATATAAATTTGAAGAAAAATTGTTGTTTTGTAGATTTTTTTATTTTTTCTTTAACCCTTACTTCATGAGCATTTTGTAAAAATGGCTGTTTTCATTGAAAAGTCTCCCGTTACAAGTTCAAATTGCTATAATACTATAAAAAACTGCTTCAACACTAATCAAACTTGGCACAAATGTTGACTGGACCATTGCACTTGCAACAACATGCTCAGGCTTAAATTTTCTGTTACCATGGCAACGAGGGGACATCTCAAAATTGCCAAAAATCACTATTTTGCGTTGATTTTTTTCCGATCAAAATTGATTTCAAAGTGCTGCACTTTCTCAATGGATTGAGATAGAGTCAAATGCTTTTCAGCGTTGGTTACACGTTACCTTATGATCAATCTGGGTCATTTACAGCCTCTCACAAGTCCAAAATTTTCTTGGCGATGAGGGGGACTGGGCCGCCCCCTTCAAACACCCCCCAAACAGAAGGGGCACATCCCCCTTCTGGCAAACCCCCTGATGTATCTTTTGGTTGGGGGGCCGCGCCGAAAAAGAGGGTCACTTTTTTTAACAACAATTCTCAAACAAAAACAAGTGTTTGGGGCCTGAATAAGGCATTTTTTCATCATTTGAGACAACAAAAAGGGGGGGGGGGGGAAAAAGGCGTTAAAAGGCGTGTATATGAAGTAATGGGTTAACTGAAAATGATGAAAATACAGTCGAGACTGTCATATGTGACTTTCCAAGGGATCTTGAGAAAAAGGTCACATATGACAGGGAGTCTCTTAATACAGACTCATAGAAAATTAAAATTTAAATACCATCTATCTGTCTATATATCATTGTAACTTAACATATATACTGTATAACTGTGTGAAGGAATAATATCTAACCAATTGCAAATACACATAGGTACTTAAAATATTTGATGTAAATAAAATAAGAATCCCTGTAAAGCAAATATAATAGTATGTATATCATATAAAATTTAATTTTATTTTTTGTATTAGTTTAATATTGAATCATTATGGTACAAAATAAACTTGAATTTGATGCATTCAAATCCTTAAAATAAATATCATACTTTTCAAAACATATCCATATTAGTCTGGTAACCAGACTAATCCTGGTATCAACATTTTTCCGTATTATCCATGCAGCCATAGAAAGGTAAAATAAAAACAAGATTGCATTTGAGAAAAATGCTATGCCACCGCATGGTTCAAATTTCATAGCTGTGCATCAACCTTCAGACAAAAATATGTTGTTTTTTTCCACTATATGTACATAATGAAAATCAATGACCCCCGGGGCGGAATCAATTTTGACCCCAGGGCTATAATTTGAACAATCTTGCTAGAGGTTAACTACACAATGTTTCATGCAAAATATCTTAACTCTATCCTTTGTAAATTTAGAGAAGATGATCTTTTAAGTTTTAACTATATACATATAAGATAAACCTATGGCTCCCAGGGGCGGGGCTAATTTTGACACAAGAGGCAAAATTTGAACAACTTTGGTAGAGTACTTTAGATGATTCATTTAACAAATATTAAAGCTCTAAGCCTTGTACCTTCAGACAATAAGATTTTTTTATCTTTTACTATGTGTATAAAAATTATAATTGAAATCAATGACCCCCCCATGGCGGGGGCAAATGCTGACCCAGGGCTATAATTTTTAACAATCTGCTAGAGGTTTACAACACAATGTTTCATGCAAGATATCTAACCTCTAGCATTTGTCAAATTGCTAGAATTTTTTTTTTAAAGTTTTTACTATAAACATATAAGGAAAACCAATGACCCCCTGGGGCGGGCCGATTTTGACCCAGGGCTATTAATTTGAAACAATCTGGGTAGAGGTCTACCAGACAATGCCTTATGCAAAATATCTAAGCTCTAGAAACCTTTTGGTCTTTACAAGAAGTGTGTTTTAAGTTTTTTACTATATGTACATATAACGAAATCAATGACCCCG